CAGAGGAAGAGGGGCCAGGAGGAGATTAGGGCAGAGTTGGAGTGAGGGCAGCAGAACTGTCTGGTTGTTTGTCCAAACATCACCAGTACCTGGGTCTCAAGTTTCCTGTTTAAGGCAACTCTACTGAGATAATGGGCTGTGATTTGTTGCTACAGAGTAACAGATTGTATGAATTTGAAATATAGCTCATCGAAGCTATAATAATAGATGTCATAATGCTAATTCACCAAACAATAGCAGCACAGATGAAAACACCTATATTTTCCCTGTCTCTAAGAAGCAATCAGCTCTTCCCTATTCTGCCTCCAAAAGCTCTAGAGCTTCCTGAAATGCTCACAGCCAAAACATGAACTCCCTTGTGTCTCCATCAGTCACACCCTGTCTCTGATCAAACCAGGAGAGATTAGAGCTCTCCAAAGAGGGCACAGCCAGCCAGAGGAAGAACAAAGGGAACGGCAGGGCTACACAGGCTGCTCCTTTGTTAACCCACTGGGAAGCCTGCACTGGAGAAGCTTAAAGGCAACCATCAGTCAACCTTCTCCCAAATGTTCCCTGAATCCTCTGCAGAAATCACTTCCCTTGAGCATTCAAGGGGCCAAAAGAGGTTAAGCCTGTCCAGGTAAGTACCCTTTACAAGGACTGCAGCACAGTGTCTTCTTAGAAAGTATATATGAAAAGGGCTGGGACAGGGTGGCGTGGGAATCAGGAACAGACAGGATGCTCCAGAGCACTACAAGGAGAGCACCACGCCCTGCAAAGTGTTCACTGGCCCGGTGAGGCCAGTGCACATAGCTGGCTTCACCGGGCCATCGGTCTGCAAAGTGCTATCTGTTACACATCCCTTTGCATCAGCATGTCTTGACCTTTGACAGAGCTGCGGCATCAAAGCCAGACCCATGGAAGAAGCAGTCTTCAAAGCTGTGCTGCCTAAAAATGTTCAAGGTGCGAGTTCCTCCTTCAGGGGGAAGTGTCACCAGGGGATCCCAGTGCCAGAGAGACATTGATGTGGCTGTCATCACGCTCTGTGCAAGATGTAACCTACCCTGACATCAAGCACCCGAATTCCCCACAACTCCAGCAAAAAAGGCCAAATTTAACCCATCGGACACACAGCCATAGGTGAGGCTTCTATATAAATAATAAGCGAAGTTACTCAGATGCCAAATCGTGCCACCGGCGGCACTAACCAGCAGGGCTGGCAGGAGACGCAGCCTTCCCGACCAGGCAGCAGGATGGCTCGGGTTGGCAAGAAGCCCTGTTGCTCCACACAACTCCGCTTGCAGACCCCCGAGTCGGAGGGCTCTCACCGCGGGCCGGCTGCCAGTCCGCCACACCCCGCGCAGAAAATCCCGCCGGCAGATTCCTGCAGGAATAGCCCTGGCGCTACCGGCGAACGAGAGAATCTTGCCCGCCGAGGGCGCGACCAGCATCGGCTGCCCGGACCGCGGCCAGCGGGAATGCCCCGCTCCCCCCGCAGGCGCGGGCGATGCCCGAGGCCCGGGCATCGGGCGGCCAAGGCATCCCTCCGGCCGGCCGTGCCCCGGCGGCTGCGGCGGCGGCCCCAGCTCCACACAAAGCGGGGTGGGGCCGGAGGGAGCTGAGGCACCCCCGGCGCGAGGCCGGCAGAGCAGCTTCCCCGCCCCGCTCCCCGGCACCGCCGGGCTCCGCGGGCCCCGGGCTGCGACAGGTGCCCGAGCCGGCCCTGCCCGCGCGTGTCCCGGCCCCACGCCCCGCACCGCTGCCCGCGCTCTCGTACCTTGCCGCGGGCGACGGGGATCTGGACGTGCGCACGGGAGCCGCGCCGCGCCAGCCCGGCCCGGCCCGCCCGCGGTCCCCGCCCCGGTCCGCCCCCGCGCCGCGCCCCGCGGCCGGGAGGTGTCGGCGGGCACCGGGTCTGGTGCTGTCGCTTGCCCCGTGGAGCTCCGAAGAGCCTGCCTGGGGCCACCAGCTCCGCGGCTGTGCCCGGCCTCTGGGCGCAACCTCCCGTGGCCAGCGAGGGTTTGTCCTGGTGCCATGGCGGAGAGAGCCCCTCCGCAAACACAGCAAGGTGCTCAAGTGTCTCTCCGCTACCCTGGGCTCCTAGAGCCATCCCACCCGGGCCGACGTGCGCCATTCGCCGTCACCATCACTGCTGCAGGTGGATCCCCGACCATGTGCCCGGAGGCCCGGAGGAAAGGTGGTTGCGTGATTCTCCTACGAGATCGAGCTGACGGCACCAGAACGTTGCCGTCACTTGCAACGAGTGCGACAGATTAATAATTAATAAGCTTTAATAAGCTCAGAGAGCTTCTGAGCACTCTGTGCCATGTCCTCAGTGTGACCACCAGGTACCGCTCATCCTGAACGCTGCACACACCCCTGCAACAGCCTTAATGTGCCAGCCTTAGCTGGCAGCCTCTGGCTGTCTCGGCAGTCCCTGGCAGATGGAGAGACACTGGCCCAAAGCTGCAGGCCCTTTACTGATGGCATATGGCTTTAGGAAGCTTCTCACAGAGCTCACACTCAGACTTTGGAGTCAGCTAGTAGCTTGGCAGCACTGCAAACCTCCTCAGTGCCCTGAATGAGGAACTTAATAAGCAGACAGCAGCAACCAAGATTAAATAGCAGGAGGTTTCTTTGGCCAGGTCACCTCCTCAGCTAACACTGCTCTGGTCCTGTCTGATTAATCAGGGTCTGAGACAGGTAGCTCATCTATATACCTTATTGCCATCACTTACTGGGTAGCAGAGGCAGCTCTGGGCTGAGCTAGCAGCTGTGACAAGACTGAGACTCAATGTCCTTCACAAGTGAGATGCTGCAGATCAGCGTTAAGGGAACAGAAGGAAAAGCAAGCATGCCCAAACAACAGCGTGGATGCTGTTGCCAATTACTAACTCCTCAAGGCATAGTACTATTTATCAGGACGCTGTATATCAACCTTAGCAGATGTAGACGAAGACAGAAGGGGTAGAGGCCTCATGAACCCTTCCAAAAAAATGTCTCAAACACTCTCAACCAAAGCAACAACAGGCAACATAGCGGGATTGAAACCACTGGAACAGTAAGAACTGCTGACAATGACAAGAGAGAGCGGCAGGAACTGTGTACTTAGCTGAAAGGTAATTCAATCAAGGGGAGATCATGACCACCAACCCAGTGACCACTTCCTCACTACAGACCCCAACTCAAGTAAAAGAGGAGATTGCATGTGTGATTATGTCATTAGCATGCCTGTCAGGACACCTCAAGTCCTTTCGGAGAAGAAAAATTATGCCTGTGAAAAGACCAGATCCACTGAATTCTTCAAGGGTGCAGACCAGAATTTCAGAACAAACCAGCAACCACTAAGAGTGATCTTTATCCTTTGCCACCAGGTGCTAGCCTGGGACATTCCAGGAGACTGAGGCACTTCAGCAGATACACCACCAGACTGCCGCTGTTGAGGCAGGACGGGAATGAAGAGACTCTGACTAGATTAGAAGGTTGCTGAAAGTAAAACTTCGATTTATTCAAAATACACTGCTCTTTTATATAGAGCTTCGTGAGGACTAACTCCATTGGTTCTGAAGTGAAAACAAGCCACAGCATTGGTGCAAAGTTCTTGACACACAGTGATAGAACTTAACTATAAACAATGTGAACAACAAGAGAGATAAAGAATTATTTACATTTTTCTTCAGCTTTTTCCCAGGCGTCTGCCTGGCTAGAAACTCAGTTTCTTTCTTTGACTGAATCTGAGTCCCACACCAGGCGACTATTGAGAAGCAATGTGCATGGATGGAGCACAGGAAGGAATTTCTGAGGACATGAATTGTAGATGCCAGTGCAGCAGCTGTCCTAGGCCTGCCCTGCCTATGGGAATTGAGATGACTTCTGGTAGCCCTCAAGATCCTTGCAGGTGTGCTCACATGTTGCCTATATAGAGGTGTACAAGACTGAGACATAGGGTACTGATACACAGATGATTTCCAGTGCTTCCTTTAACACATGTTGTGCTCCAGCCCTGAGTAAGCTGCAGAAAATTGCATGCAGGATTGACAGGGAGAAAAAGACAGCTTTGTTTAAGGTCTTTGGGGGGAAAGATTTCTTCTCCCTACAGCTCTGTCCACTGTAGGCATATGGCTATGCTATTCATGTGCAAATGCCATTTATGAGAGCTGTTTTAGGTGATGACAAAGTGAATGGTTTGGGACTCCCCGGTCCCTTTTGCAGTCTTAAACTGGGTGGCTGAGATTGGGGTGTCCTTGGTGATTGGGGTGAATGCTATCTCTGTTGTGTTCCCTGAGATATCTCAACTGGTCATCCAGCAGCAAGAGTCTGGCTGAGCAACCCTAGTGACAGCCTGTGTCCACAGAAGTGGCTTCTAGGAAAAGAGTACTCCCATACAACCCTTCTGCTGTGTAAAGGGCCTCCAGCAGCCAACATGTTCGTGCTTTCTGTTGAGATCCAGCAGCAGAAGTTGGAGACACTGCAGCAAACACTAAACTCTGACTTATCCCTGCTTGCAGAGGACAGGGGTCCTGACGTGTCTCTGGTAGTTCTGCATGGACACGTGCAGGAAGCTGCGAATTAGTTATGACCAATTAGCTTAATCTTTAAATAAACTTCACTGGTTCCTATTTTTCCTACTGTAATTATTTCCAGCCCCATGCAGCACACTATCACTAACTGTGCCACATGTAAGCAGGTGGGCATGGAGGGCACAACACCCACCAGCTTGGGACTGATTTAAAGCACCATTGCAAGGTTAGTGCAAAACTGGAAGCCTTTTCAGAGTTTGTGGCATTGGCATTTCCCATCAAGGTGCAAGAGCTTTTATGATGTTGATAAATGTTATTAGAAGATGCAGCAAAAATATCAATTGGTTTTAATTTTATTTTGGAACTTTTCCTCCCTGCAAAATGCTGCCCATAGACAATACTTTTCTATTAACAAATTGATTTTGTAAAAGAAGAACATATAGGCGCTATTTTCAGCATGGAATTGTAATGTTGGGCTGAATACTATTTTTTCCCAAATGATAAGGACAGTAGAACAGAACATTTTATTCTTTTTAAATAAAGGGAACAATGTAGTCTTGGAGGAGTAGACAAAAAACTCATGCAAAACATAACAAGATGCCAGCTTAGTTTTGCAAGGCTGACAAAGCTGAAGTTATGCAAAGCAACAATATTTCACTTATTCAAAATGAGAGTTGAGGAACAGCCACCTAAAAAGGATACTGGACATTGAAGACAAACCCTGACGAACTTAGGGACTTCCAATAAGGGGTGCAACTATGTAAAATAAACACACATACATCAAGTAAGCAGGGATAGCCAACGAGTGTGTCATCAGTGTGTATGATTAAAAACTCAGTTTTGAGCATTTACCCAATGCCCAGGCATACTCAGTTAGAAGAAGGATTCTCTGAGTGACCAGCACACTGTGATAAAGAAAGCTGCTTTCTAATACTCAAAACTGTGTTAGAAAGCTTTAATCTGGACAATTTTGGTATTACAAGGGGGCTTGAAATTTAATTCTGCTTACCCTGGATATTGCTTCAAGTCTCCAAGCTTCCAACAGCTTGACACCAGAATGTGCCAGAGGTTCTGTGTCATAAAAATTAAGCTCAAAACCAGAGCAGATACTGATCCAAGAGCTGGAGTCTCAAAGACAGACTTTGCACTTCAGAGGAAGCAGTCATTTAATAACAAGGAGAAATAGGGACTTCATCTCAAAGGTAGTGGACCATGTGACCAAAGCAAACATCTGGCTGCAGCAGAGTATGGTACCTCTCACCCCAAATGTGTCATGGTTAGCAATACCTTCTCTTCCACTGACCAACCACTGTGCTGTTTTCCCCTCGAGAGAGCTCCTGAGGTTGAACAGAAAGCACATGGATAATCTCATGATTCAGCATCTCCAGCCTCTGATTGAACTCTAGGAAAGGAGTTAAATTATCTTGCATGGCATTATATCAGCTGCAGCACTGTGGCTTGGTCATGGGAAAGTGGTTTGTCTTCTTGCACTTGGCATGTCCATAGACCAACCAGAACTAATGTTTTGTAAAGGAGCTCTTAGCACTGGAAGATGGCTGGAGAAATCTCAGCATCATCTCAGGCCACAAGTGAGCTCTTAAATGGGAAGAGACAAGCCCAAGGTCTTGTGTCTGTGATGGTGGCAGGAGGTTGCCCGGCCTGCAGACTGGAAAAGAAACCTCAGCACTGTGGTATAGTTCCTCCTACAGCGTGTTGTTGCTATCCTCCCATGGAAAAATGCCTTGCCCCTTAGCTGTCACCTTCACCCTGGATGAGATGCTCAAGCTTAGGCTAAACATTAACCCAGAAACAACCTCCCCAGTAGTGCCTTTTGCCACTCTGGCAGCACACCAGAATACAGGGCTTAGCTGCAGCATATGAAGGTATAGATCCTGCCAGCCCAACACCATCCAGGCCAAAAAGGGAAGCTTTACAGACTCTTCTTATTGGCAGCTCAGGGAATTATTGAGCCAGCAGTGGCTTTATGTATGTTTGGCACCACTCCACCAATTCATCCTCTCAAACCCTATGAACTTTTGGCGACCACAAGATCCTGCAACAAAGTGAACTTACAAGTTAATGGCATATCATAGGGAGGAGGGTGGGTGTGGAAATCAAAACCCTCCTTTTTAAGGTTGGAGCTAGTATGCCAAGATTTAGGTTAATTCAGAGATAGAAAGCTTAATTTCATAAGTAATGTTACGCATACAGCAAAGCTCAGCAAAGTCTGGCTCTAGGTAGAAAGACACCTGTTTTATGCACAGGTGCCAGCACAGGCAGAAGGAGCTGCTGGGCTGCATAACTAGGTCAAACTGTTTCCCAGCCACAACAGTTGGCAGTGGCAGCACAAATCATTCTTGAGCACTTCATGCAGAGGTAACCAAGAGATTCAAAACACCCATGGCATTGACTGATAGTCACTGCAGGTCTTGCAGGGGCTTGAGGGATTTGTGTCTGGCCCAACTGTAATTTTGTGATTTGAGTTCAGTGCTATTCAGTACTACTGAAATTTATGAAGCAGAAGGAAAGTAGATGAGAGCCCATGAGGACAAGTCAGCTTGGCTCCAAGGTGCAGGTCTTTATAGGCTTTGCAGACATTCCTACATCCACCACAGTTTAATAAAGAATGACCACGATTGCTTATCAATAGGACCAGAGAAGATGGTCCTCAGCAAATATATTTGGACCAAAACCAAGAGCTGAGTAAGACACAAAAGAAAAGAAACTTTAAAACAACCCTCACATGTCCTTCCCTTCCAATTTAATTTAAAAATTATTTTCAGAATTCTCCATCAGGATCAGTATCTTGATCTTTAGGTCTATGTCAGATGAGTTTATGTATCACAGAGACCATAGTCAGGCTGTGGTTTAGTCTAATAATACATGTTTCAAATGCCTTTATTATTAAACATAAGGGCAAATCAGGAGGAAAGATTCTTAAGCTGTTGCAGAAAGCTCTAGGAAACAAAATTGTAAGTAAACGTCTAATTTTCATGGTCTTGATTTAGAAGATAATGTCTGTAACAATGGCTAAATTCTGTGTGCACTCATGAACATAAGTCTATAAATAAACCTTCGGGGATCTATCCACTCTTCCCAAAACTTCACTTCCACTTTGATTCCTTCTCTGCTGTGTGGTTGACCTCCACAGGTCTCTCCCATCTCAGTCTTCTATAAGGCATTGAAAGTGGCTGATTTGTCCAGTGAGGCAGACCATGTGTCCCAGGTGAATAGGCAATGATTCCCCTAGAGTCTGTCGTCTTGGCTACAGCCCAAGAAGAACGGGGCTGAGAACACTGTGGGCTATGAATTCCTCCCTTTCCTTCCTCTCTACAAGTACTGACAACTTGAAGGGCTGGGTTATTAACCGCCAGCTAGTTAAAGAAAGCATAAGCCATTTGCGTTCAAGGTCAGTCTAAAAACATAGAGCCTCCCCCTTACAGCAGTGTCTGCTGCATGCTATCTGTGCCAGCACTGCAGGTACACCTGGAGTAATACACCACTCAGCAGGAAAGTGAGGCAGCAGGATCTGGCATCATGTTAAGGAAAATAAGTTGTATTTATCTAAATCGTTGACTCATCCTGGGTCAGTGGAGAGCTCAGCTGCACAAGCAGGGAATGGCTGAGCCTGGAGGCAGGGCAGAAGGCTATGAGACCCCATAGGGCTTCTCTGTGTGCTAGACCCATGGAGGCCAGCTCCTTGGTTCAGGGGACATTAAGGTTTTTTTCTAAAGAATATCAGGTCATCTTTTGTGACCTTGTTCCAAGGGTTTTCAGGTTCACTACCAGCCATATGCCATGGACAAAACACCTTCAATATCATAAACTCCTACGGAAAAGCCCTTGTCCCTCTCATAATGAATGGAAGTCAGAGACAGGGATATCAATATAAAAATCCAGCACAGGAGGACTGTAACCATGGGACAGGAGATGGCCAGGAGTGAGACTATCAGAAAATCCAGCCATCCCCAGTAAAAGTCCACATAACACTTGGCCCTACCTACAGGAAGGCTGGTTTCATACAGAGATTAGAGTTCCTCCATGGAGCAAACTCACCAGCACAGAGTGATGCCAGGGCCTAAAAGCTAAACATGAGGAGAGAAAGCTCACAACATTTCCCAGCAAAGCAGAAGACACACCTTGTGCTCCCATGAACTTCCTACAGGAGAAGCAACTCTACTCTCCCACGATCTGTTTCCTGGTCCCAGCCTACATCCCATGGGCTGATGTCCTCCAGCTTTCAGAACCTCCACAGACCCAACACTCATCTGGAGACAGTGTCTTGATCAGTAACAATGTTAAAAACACACTCTCCTGGCAGGCTGGACAATGAAGGCACCATGCTGTTTAAGAGAAGTTTTTTTCCTGACCAATTCAGAAGGTTTAGGTAACAAGGGAGTGTTCTTGGTTCATTATCTCTGGAGATTTTACTTGTAGTAAAGACCTCATTCAAGCGTCCATCCAAAAATGAATAAAAGCCCTGCTTGGTCTTTTGCATCATGTCAGTTCCTGTCATGACACCACAACTGATATTTCTTCTGCACCCTCAGCTGTAATCCTGAACTGCACAGGACAGGATGGGCTAAATGGGGAGAAATATAGAAGAGGATTAAACTCCTCTGACACCTTCCAATCCATTATAAAACTGACTTGGTCTCCAAATGGTCCCATACAGCCTTGCTTATTGGGGTACACGAGCTCCTGTGACCACGCTTCCTCCTGTGGTCCATTTCTCACTGACAGTTGCTACTGATGACTTCTGCAGTATGGGAGGGAAGTGATGATGAACTCTCTTTTTGCTAGCTCTCTTCTTCCTCTTCACTAACTGCCTCCTCCAAGTCTTGAGGTCCTTGCTCTGCTCTCCCTTTCACATAGGCTGCCTTGATCTGTTCAAGTTCACGCAGCTCTGCCTCCAGCTCTTCTCTGTGCATTGACCGACGGTTCCTCAGCAGTTTCATGGGGAAGGGGTTTAAGTCATTGAAGGCAATGTTCATCAGCTTCCTACAATAGAAAGGACAGCTGTGGTCAACTTATTTACTGGCTGGTAACACATTGTAACAGATACACCAAGAGCATTCTGGGGTATTAAAGAGCAGGACCACAGACTTCAGCTCTCTGAGCTAAGTCACCAAACAGCCAAGTATTAAAGGAATTCTTTCCCCCACAAACACCAACCCAAGCAGTACTTCATATACACGTGTACCATCCCACCTTTTAAGGTATCAGTGTGCAGCCATCATTTAGGAGACAATGGATCAGATGCCAATTCTGATGGCTTGTCAGGAAGAAATATTCCTGATGTTGAGCTTTTCTGATCACAGAAATCTTCATCTCAGAGACATGTTGCCCTTCAAGATCGTGGATTGTGCTGTGTTCCAAACACCCCAACTACAGCTGAGAGAAACCCAGCAATAACTAGCACAAGTACCAGCTGCTACAAGAAGACTAACGCAGACTTTGTGGCTTGCTCTGCTGTAGCATGCCTTTGCTTGAGCCAAAAAGATTTTAAGTAATGCCATGAAGGGAAAGTCAAAAAGAGACAAATGGATCCATGTTCCACAGACCTATCAATGCATTTGTATCTCTCTTAATAAACTAGTCGCAATTCCTGTTAAGTGGACCCAACAGGCAAGCAAGTACAAATACACAATGGAAGCTTGTCTGCAACTCAGTCCTACCTGCCGTCCGTGATCATCCTTGTGAAGAAGCGTAGATACTGGTAGATCTCCACACTGTCATGAATTCTTAGGATTTCCTCCTCATTGTATTTAAAAATCGCAAGAGCATAGCGGAAAATTACCTGGAGGGTTGAAGCATATTTGAGTGGATAAAGTTTTAAGTGACTGAAGGTCCAGGCCATCCTGGAATGAAAGATGATGTTGGGCACACACCACTGCAGTACAGACTAGATTCAGGGTTACTCTTGCTCTCAACAGTATGTACTAGGGCAGGCCTAAAGGAGTACAGACCTAATCTCAAGAGAATGACCATCTGTTGGCTAAATTGCAACCCCAGAGAATACCAGGCCCTACAAAAATACCCCACAGGGATTTCACAAGGGTTCTGCAGTTTTCCCTATGCACAGGGACAATGCAGGACTCACATTTTCAGATACTGCCTATCTTATGCTTCCTTTATCTGTAATAGTCTTAGTTGTGTCACAGAGTAGGAGACACCATGGCCTTTCACAGAGATGTTTTACAGCACAACTATCTGCTAAAAAGTAGCAAGTGCACAGAATCAGGGACTAGGTCAGCCTACTAACAGCAAGTACATAGAAAACAGGGGCTTGGAGACATCAAGGCATGCCACCAAAGCGGCAGAATAGGACAAGCAGCTCAGTCTCACATATCTTTGATATATGTGTATGCCCATCACTCTATCACTATGCCACACAGGTGGTACAGATGAGAGGAAGGCCTAGACTGAGAGCCGCACCTTAGTTCCCTCATACAAGAAGGCATCCCACACTCGCAGGAGGATGTCGCTGACCAAGCTGTCCACAAAGGCCACAAGAAACCAGTTGAAGGTGATGAGTGAGACATCAATCTGATACTGTTCAAAATGAGCCATGAGGCAAGGCAGCTTCTCGGACAGGAAGTCTTTGAAGACTCTCTGATCTACCTAAAATTGACAAAAAAGAAAACAATGAAGTCCTAGTCAAGAGCAGTCCTGCTGTTAGAGCAGAGGAGCAGTGCCACAGGACAATAGCCCTTGCATATCAGGGTCATCAATGGTGCTGCCTTCTAGTGAACCACACCCTAGGAGGAGCAGAGCATCCTTTGTCTCTTCAAACTCACTGAGCAGTGTACTTGTATGCAGTATCCAGAGCAAGGCATGGAGCTGAAACAAGGCCAAGATATAAGCAGAGAAACATACATTCTTCTCACTCAAAGAATCATATTCCTTCCCAATCTCAAAACTGAGAAGGAAAATCTGACACATCTTCCTGCATTGGTCTTACTGGGATTTTCTGTGACACCATGAGCACCCAATTGAATGACAGGCAGATCTGAATGACTCTACATAGCCCAACAGACTGAACACCTCAAATACCTCTGACTTTGCAAGCAGAACCTGATCCTCTCACTTAAGCTTCTCTTTATGGTCTGAGTAGTGTCTGTGTTTTGCTTCTGGTTGCATGAGCCAAAACACAGAAATGAAATCAGTGAGATCCTCGATCCAGGTTTGTAAAGGTTTCACCTCAGCAGAGCTGTGCTCTCTGGAGGGTAAGTGCTAAAGAGCAGGATCATGTTTAGGGCTTCCCTCTGCCATATTATATTAATGCCCCAGCTGTATCAGCCCACTTAGCTGTGGCACAGGGCTACAAACCATACAAGTAACATGCTTTGTCTTCAAAATTTCCAATTTTAAGTTTTCCAGCCAACTCACTTTATCAAGCCAACCCTTAGATGCTCCTCTTTACATGAGTCTTGGCTAGATTTTCATATACCAACCATGAGGTCAGAAATTCTTTCTAAAGCACACTTTCAGCTGACAGTGTTTTCTCACTGAATGTAGGTGAGCCTCTTCAGTCTGTCATATTTTCCCTGTCAGTCTCTACTTGTTCAGTATTGAGTGCTGTCTATTAAATCCCATAGCTAACACAATCTCCTCTGGAGAGGTATTTTGCTATCTTCAAAGTAATTTAACTGTTTCCCCAGTCTGTGAGTTGGCCTCTCCACCACCACACCACTGTCCCAGTGGCATCAGTCGCTCTCAGCTACTGTCCCTTGAAGCCTCCTCTATTGTGGGCCCACAGATAAAAACAAACAATTTTTTCCTCTGAAAGGACCACATAAAACAGAGACACCAAGGTCACAGCAAGGCTTACCAGACCAAACACTGACGGATGTGGCACAATTACAATTCCATTGAACTACACAGGAGTTAGCTTACCTCTGTCTGCCTGGGAGGACATAGATATCTGGCACAAGACAGACTGAAAACCTTGAAATCCAGTGATTTTGAACCAGGTGAGTAAGCTATTTGCAGCACAACAGTTGGTATCAAAAGGCCAGAATCTTTTCTGATGTGCAGAGAGCCCAGTAGTGAGAACAAACACCATGCTTGATCATGAACTGAGGCAAATAGAGTGAATATAAAAATCTCAGCACATGTACATGGCACTCCGAAGATAAGAGTGCAGCTTCAAAAACTGAAGGGCTTCAAAATGGTGCCTTCCTCATATTCAGTCTATATATACCAGAATTTGCTGCTTCACTTCTATTAAGACTTCTTTAAAATAAGTAACTGTGCAATTAATGGCCACTTTTCTTCTGACTAACCTGATTTAATTTTATTACTTGGGAGTGGTACCTCATTTCCTAGAGCTGGTGACCAATTTTGCTGCTCTGAGTGTAACAATTGACCAATTTTGCTGCTCTGTGTGAGTGTAACACTTTTGTACTCTCAAGTCTCCAACACCACTGCAGTGGAAGGAACTGTAAGGTGGTATCACTGTCCTGTGAGACATCAAACACACGGCAGGTTGACTACTCACTTTTAAATCTTTACTGCACATCACTGTATGAGAGTCCAAGCAGATGGGAGGGTGCTCAGCTCACCTGTGATGTTATTAGTGTCTCGCTGTAGTAGTCTGCTGGCATTAGGTTCTCCACAATATAGACTAGACACCAGAAAGCACTTTCCTCATCTTCTAGGACCAGGAGAGCAACAGCTGCCAATCTGTGATGGACAAGACATGGTGAGAGAATTCAGTACTGCAGGAGGAGTCATCAACACAGAAATTGAAGAATACAAGAGGTCTTTTTGCATGGCTCCAGCCCCATTGGCATCCAAAACACCAAATGTGGCAGGACAGCCAGACAGAGGCAAGTGACCTGTTTCTGAAGGAACCACAGGGATCTGATCTTCATTCCAATGTGGCTCTGGTCTGACAAAGCCAGATTTCCCAGCTAATGAAATGTTCTGTAGATCTGCTGAAGTTAGTAGTGCTGATTTTGGCTATTTCAATACAAGAAAGAGGTCATAAAAAGGTACTTCATATTATGTGATATAATCTCCATACATTCTTTTATACCCCTGACCTCCTTCAACTTACTGCCTTTTAGACAGACTAGAAAGATGATCCCTTATATTAAGGGCTATCTGGGGGAAAGCTTCTATCATCTTTCTGAAGACCATCCAAAGATCATTAGGAATAAATAGCTTACACAAACCTCCGTCATGTGAAAAGGTCCCAACTAGAAATTCCCTTCTTACACCTAATGCCTACTGCCTTTTCTACTTGGCAGCACAATTCTAGGAAATTTAGGTTCATCTTTCCTATAGCCTTCTTTGGGAAGTGAAAGAAACCCTCATATTCTCTGAATCTTTTCTTTTCCAGACAGAACAACCGTGGTTTCCGCAGTCTTTCTTTGTGTTGTTTCCTGCAACTCTCTTGCATGTTAACACTTCCCAACATTTCCTCCAGCTGACCTCAGCAAAAAAGGGAACCACCAGGGTGTTCTTCTGCTTTATGACTTTACATTACTACTTAAAAATTCAGCCTCAGCCTTGTGGTGTTATTCTAGGACTGCTTCACTCTTCCTCCCCTAGCTATTCTTTCCCATTCTGTAACTATAGAGATGCCATGCAAATGCAACCTGCTGCTTTCTGGATCCCAGTAACAACACTGGATGAAAAATAAGTCAAAGAATTCTGCAATTAAATACCTAGAGCTAGGATAGAATCTGTAGAGAGGCAAGAGCCTGAGGCTGCTTGAATCACAGCCTGGAGTACGTGTCTACACCTTTTCAGTGCCATCTCATGAAGAAGCAGCATACCTGTTCAATCCCTGGCAGTACCCAATGGCAGGATTGTGCCAGGAGAATGCCACTAACACCCTCCGGAGCCTGGGGATGAGCTGGGAGGTGGGAGAGGAGAAATGCTTGTTGTTGGTCAGTGTACGGGGTAGGTCAAGCTCAATCTGCCGGCAGGCCGGGTGCTCAGTGCTCCTGCTCTGCTCCAGCAGCCGCTGGTAGTGGCCAGGCACTGGGCTGCAGTGCCGGCTGACCATCCAGCTCCACACCCACTGACGATGCTCCACTGGGATGCCATTTCGAATTAAGCTCTTCAGCTCTGCAGAGGGGTTCAGCTCTCCAATGCTGTTCCATCTGTCACGGAGGGGCTTCTCCACTATTTCCTGGCTCCACAGTTTGTTGGACTTTATCTCAAGGGCTTGGATTCTGGCCAGAAGTTTCCAGTCCTCAATTTCATAGTCAGGTACAGTCATAAACCCATACTCATCATACTCACTGGAGGGACACAAAGCAGTGTTTAGTTCAAATGACAGTGCTGGTACCTGTGTCAAGGACACTTACTGTTTGGGATCGTCCCAGCTACAACCTGCTGCCAGGCTCACATCACCCATACCAGCGCACAAGTCCTTGTGGGTGTGCACTCCTCACCCCCCTCCCTTTCCAGGCTGCACTGAGATCTGAGAAATGCTCCTTAGACCTCAACTTCACTATGTTGTGCTGTCACTTAATATTAAATCTGGGTTTTGCGGATACCTTTGCTAGGATTTTTTTAAAGTGATCTCAAACACTCATTTGTAACAGTACTCCTTCACTTCACTGCATGTGACTGCCTACCTCAGATCCTTAAAGACAAATGAGAACCTGCAGCACTGGCATACACACACCAACTCAAGAGTAAATTTTCTCTGAGCTGCATACCAACCTCAGTAGACCCCTAATCAGCCCCTAAAGAAATCCTGAGCTCACCCTGTGTATCTTCTCCCTACCCTGTCCCAGTGCAGAGACAGTTCTGTAGGAGAGGACTGGAAAGGCTTTGCGGCATGAGATCAAAGAACAGATATCCACAGTCCTTTCTGATGTTTGCTTGTACACAGTGAAAATCTCTTCTGATCAGAACACACCAAGAGTATAGATAGGACAGCTTGTCAAGGTTTGTGCACCATCTGTCCACAAGGTGAGAGGCTCTTCACAAAAAGACCTAGGGGGTCTCATCTCCAAAGCTACATGGAGAACCTGTGAGACTGACCAAACAGATAAAATGGGAACTCCTACAGAACACGGGCCCTGACTGTGTAGGAAGGCATAGACACAAATGTAGGCGCCTACTATAGAATGTTGTTAGATGTACCATGCCTGCACACTTCCCTTTGCAGGCAGGCTTCTACAAAGCTGTGAATATCCCCATGCTCTCAACTCTTACCTTACAGGGTTCAAGTTAAGACCTTCTGCTTCTTCCTTCACATCCCACTGGAGAGCTTCCCGGATGAGGTTCTTCACCAGTTCAGCATGCAAGTTGGGCAGGCCAGGCACAGCCTCCTGCAGCTTTCTCAAAACTGTCAGGTATTTGCTCTCCATCTGGCAGTTTCTTGCTTGCAGGCAGGCACACTGATGGGGAAACAAGAAGGAAAGAGCTCTTTCAGTGTTGCCACTGCTCTCTACTGGCCTGGTCTGCACATAAAGACTTCTGCAGAGCAAAGCCCCAGGAAACACATTTACTAGTTCTCCACAATCAGTGGAATTGCAGCCATGAATGAATCACCACAGTCTATGAACAAACACAAGCTGCAGTATCTAGCATGCAAAAGAAGTTGCTTATTGAGTGGGAGACATACTACATCATCAGCTACTTTAACTACTGCATTGCATCAGTAGATGCCACACCCCACCAGCTCAACTAAGGACACAGCTAAAGAGCCAGATCTGCATCTGGGTTTCTGCTGTCCTTTTCCCTTAACCTCAGACAAGCTCTCTACACCACATTGAGCTGTATCCTGATAAAACATACCACTCCAGAGACTGTAAGTATAGCATTTTCAGGATACATGGTAGCACCACAGACTAGGTGACCACACGCCCTTCAGCATCCCCAGTCCCATGGCACTGGTAGACATAATTTCTCATGCACAGGAAGCCCAGCAGGACAGTACCTGCCACCACCTTAGCCCTTGGCACAAAAAGCAAAAAAAAAAATTAATAAGGATTACTAGTGCACTCCACAAGTGGGGAACTGAGGCTACACAGGTGACAAGATTCACCCAGTGTCTCACAGGAAGCTCAGCGAAGATTCCTGTTCAGTGGGAAGAAGTTGAAAACAAGAACAAAACAGAAAGAATTAGGTTGCATATAGAGGGGACAGAAAGGAGCACAGTTTCTTTCATACCAGCACTTTAGTCAGCATTTTGCCTCACACTGAGCATACTGGGCTCGTGTGATTACTTCCTTTTTGAAGGTTATGGAAGTGTCAGGATGAGAGGGCAGTAAGTTAGGAGGAAGGCAGGGTTTCAAAGAACTAGAAAGCAAACAGATATAAGAATGGTAATAACACTCCAGAAGCAGCTTTTTGCCCTGTCCCAGAAGCCATGTGTATGTGTATGGGTATACATACCCTGTAGTGGTACACTCCCCCACCTAATGCCACATTATGATCTCAGAAATGCTTGCTAGGCCTCAGTGTTAATGAACAGCACCTGGGCTAAACTCCTGTGCTTATTAGAAAGCACAAGAAGCACAGGCTCCCAGGAATTGGTGCTAATGAGCTTTGGTTTTAACAAACACCATTAGAAACTTATTTTTCTTGCAAACTCAAGTGGAGGAATGTTTCTGTCATCAAGTTTTCAAAAGTTACCAATTGCAGCCAGGATGGCAAATTACTATGACTAAAGGCAATTCTCTTATGAACCTATAAACAGTGGTTCCAAGTGAGACCCTTGGAGCTCTCCTGGACCACAGTGGGCTGTGACCAGCAACCTCTCTCTGAGTGGGGCCTCTCAGAGCCAGAGAACTCTCAAATTTGCTGTACTTGAAGCACCACTGGCAAACGATGATGACAAAGCCTGGGCCAATACCCCCACTCCTCAAGGCTCAACCCTTTGCCTGCTGAGAAGATGCAGACATCTGACATGAGCACTTCACTGAGCTCAAGGGAGAGTTTTCACATGTACCTTGTATGTATTCTAGGTCTTGGTGATTATGCTACAGAAAATGTACCTGGAATCTTAGATTCTCAAGTATTTTATAGGTTAGTAATTTAGGCCTGTAAGGGAGTTACTATTGTGATTGCAGTAAATTCCATAGAATCTTTTGTAAATTGTTTCAATTCAGCCATTGTTTAAATGCTGTTAAGTTCAAGTGCATTAAAATCTTTAGGCCCAAACTATTGTTCAAGTCCAGAGCTAAGTTTTGCGCAGGAGTCCACACTGAACCTTGTGGCTCAATGGGAGTGCCTTCCTTTTTCCTTTTATGTTAAAGCTTTCCCATCCTTACCCTTTTCCATTCCCAGCTTCCACATAGATTTTTAATTGATTTTAGTTTTCGATTGACTGATTATACGTTTTAGTACTATTTTATCTTTGCGTGCTTTAACCATCTAGTAAGTAGCAGAGTGAACCTTGGCAATGAGCTTTGCCATGCTTTCACTTCAATACTGAACCTGCTATGCCTAACCTTTGCCAGTGATTCTTTAAACAACCTAAGACACTCATTCTTAACAATACCTTAAAACCCAGGGAAGTAAATCCTAGGCAAAACCCACAGAACAAATGCCAGCCCACCGCTCCAGCCTTGAGAGTGGTTCAGGACCAGAAAATAGGATTCGACAAGTTTGAGAGTAACCAGGTTTTTCCCACTTACACAGCTAGAAATAAAAATACAACATAGGAGAACATAAGAACTCTGATCTAACTGCAGGACTTCAAGGATGCTGCCACCTAGCAGTGCCAAGTCCAGCAAAGAAACCATGAATAGATGGAGTCAGGAATCAATCTGTCAGCTCTCAGGAAACTTTTCTGATTGCCTACACAGGGTTGCTTTTCTATTTGCATAGCTGAAATGCAGAAATTTGGGTTAAGTTTCAGCACATTTAAGACTGATCTTCACAGGTATTTTACTTCTGTTAAAGAATTAAAATTATCATGTCTAATTTGGGAACAGCAGAAAGAAGTAAAGAGGTCACACTCAAAAAAACACAAGAAAGCTTATTCCTTGTGGATCAAAATCTATTCTTGTGCCATAGAAGAGAAACTTTGAAAATGAATTAGTAACAACTGACACCAAAGAAAAAAGGTCACTTGGCCTTACCTTCATCAGAAGAGCTTTTTCATTCTCAGCAACACTTGTCCAGAGTCGAGTAACCTGGTGGATCTCAGAATTGAGAAACTGGTTCTGGGTTTTGTATGCATCAATATCATCCTGCCATGAAGCAAAACAGTCACACAAGGAGAGATCTTGAGGGGCTTAAAATCCCTCCCATTTCAGGGACATCAGATTAAGTTAAGGACAATAAAATATCTCAAAAATTCTGTGTTCTGAGGAGCAGACAGGACTCCCCAGTACAAACATTGCCTACAAAGGAAATCAAGGCACAATACTGTCATGCATCAACAAGACTCTTGAAAATGCTAAATGTATATATACATTTAAAAACACTGGAGAGGTCTGCATCATATCAAGCCAGGGATACACTTAAATAAGATTAAGAATATATGTGTTTTGTTTGGATTTTATTTGGCTGATTGGTTAAATTTTGATTGTTTGGTTGGTTTTTTTCGGGTTTTTTTTTGATGTGAAACAAATCTTAGCCCCATGGCTGGCAGGAAAAAAGAACACTCTCCACAGAAGTAGCTCTTTTGGCAATTCTCCACCTCACACTAACCCATAAGCTGTGCGCATATAACAACGTGCATCTGAAAGAACCAGCATGTATTGGGAAACTGCAAGAGAGAAACATACAGCAACAAAGTAAGTGAAGGCAGCAAATCAGGCTGCAGCTATGAAACGAAAGAAAATAAAGTGGCAGGCACTGAATGATGACAGTAAGTCAAACAAAACAGCCTCTAAGCTGAAGCTGAAACTGACTCAGATGCTTTTTAGTACCCTATTGGCATCAGGTGAGCCCCTTCCAGCCTTCCTCTCGTTTGGAGAGGGACAGAGCAACCAGAAGTATATTCTGTGCTTACTGCAAAGAACACCCTCCCACTGAACCTGAGGGCATCTCACATACCTTCAGATGCTCAATCTCCTCCTGCTGCTTATACAATGTCTCTACAGTGATAGTGTTAGCTTCTTGCAGAGGGTCAGAGAGTTTTCGGGCCATCTGCTCTGTCAAGGTCATGATGACTTCCTGTTTGGCATGGTTCTTCTCCATCAGAAGCTGCACGTGTTCCTTGAGCTCCTGGATATGGCTGTCTCTCAAAGTCAGTATCTGCTCCAGTTCCTTCTTTTCTTGTTCAAGAGCTTCCAGTCGACTTGTCAGATCTGCAATTTGTCTCACTTTGTGGCACACCAGCTCCAGCCTGTCCTTATCTTCTGCTACTGTGAGATACATGCTAGATACTCGCTTCTCTTGCTGGGCTGCCTCCAGAGCTTTGTGGAGAAGTTTGACCAGTTCCTGGAAAGGGAATGCAAAACCATCATAACACTGTGCTGTTCAGGGCAATGGTATTATGGACAGCACAGACCCACTAGTGAAATATCTTGAAATTGACTGCTATAGAAGGAAAACAATACAGAAATCTTGAATCTACAGTGACACCACTGTGAGACGTTCTGCTCTCAGAGCTGGGCCTGAAAGGTCTCTACAGCAGTTCACAGATGACCTGACTTGTATTGGTAGCAGAAAAGCTGCTGCCCACACTGTCTGAACTCTGGCTTTCCTTCAGTCATTCTTAGAGGCTCAGCAGAGAACATGGAGATCTGGTCAGCTGTGTGGTAAAATGGGAGGGAAATAATGCTGTCTGCAACTACCTGTGCTACCAGAAGGAAACCATAGTATCCATTTTAACCTTTCTTCTGACAGTCCTCCCTCACTCTATCCTGCATGAAGGCATGGAACCTTACCCCACAACTTGTTGCTGATTCAGGCTCTGCCATCTCAGATATTTAAAGAGAGCAAATTAAGGACACAACTGAAAGCCCAACATGGGACTTGCTCTTCTGCTGAAAGAGCTACCAGCACCATTAGCAGAGAACCTGGCATTGCTCCATGCTTTGAAGAACAATGTCATTCATGAGAGACAGTCCTTGCAGTGACCTATGCCCTGACTTCTTAGAGTCAAATCACACCTTAAAGGTGGGTCACTGTTCAAAAAGAATTACCTGCTGTTAACACCATGGCAGTTCTCACCAGTGTCACAGTACCTACTCAGGACTGTACTTAGTGAGCAACAGAGATGCACAAGCAAGATAACAGCACTGTACACTTGGACTTGTTTTACCTCCCTCTTACACCTAGCTGCACTTCCTAGACATGGCTGAATATCTTCTTTTGTGCTGGACACACTTAGGCACACACCAGGCACTTCAACTGGTCTCCAATTACTGCCTGCTGAGCACTTCTCAGAGCTTGTACCACACCAATATGTAAGGGAGTCCCTGTGACCAACCTCAGGGCCCTGACCCTTAGAAATAGCAGTCTCTGCACCACACTCACCTTCTGTGACTTGACTTCCTCTGTGAGTGTCAGAATCTGTTGCTGAAGGTCATTCACTTTATCCACTGAGTTCTTCTCCCTCAACAGTTCTTCAGAGCCTGGGAAGCCACTGTTCATCCACCTGGCTTTCCTAATCCACTTCAGCCTGGGCCCCATCCTCCCATCTTCCAGGGTCCCTTCCTTAACTGAGGGGAGATAGATTTAATTTAGACAGAATTGCTTTGCTACTATGGACTCCCAAGTCTTCCTATGGGGACTCAACAATTCCGCAGAGAAGGCTGGCATACAGAATATCGAAAATTGACCCACAGGATTGGATCCAAAACAGTAGGGATCAGACACTGATATACCCACAATAAACAAAGTTGTGATAGTTTTACCTGTTAACCTACCTTGTACCCTGCTCATGAATCTGGCACACAGCAAATGAAAGTTACCACCATGGAAAGGTATGCCTGCAGTAGAGCTGCCACACTTAAATGTATTTCTTTGAGGTAAAAGTGTAATTGCTGCACAGTCACAAGCTGATGGCCAGATGTTTTTTTGGATTTTTTTGCTTGATGGTTTTTTGGATTTATTTTTTGCTTCTGCAAAAGGTTGCAGAGGTAGAAGATAGAGACAGATGGAGCCTGAAGCAGAGCCAAAGGAGTCAGTCTTGTGGCAACAGCATAGGAAGAGACTTGAGACAATGTAACAGAGTTTTCATATCCCTGCAAAACTTGCCACCATCTCCTTTCCATTCCTGCTAATGCCTGCTAGAAGGCATCCCAGTCAGCTCACGCAGCTCAGTAACAATCACCTGTACCTTCTGCCTCTTGCTCCTCATCCACATTCTCAGGATGCTCTTGGAATTCATTAAAGCTAAAGACATTCCCATTGCTCCCCCAGAGCTGCTTGGAGCCACAAATGTTGTAGACAGTGTTTCTGAAACAAGAAGAGATCAAGATCGCCTAGTGAACAGAAGTCATGGTCACTGCAGCCAGCCAGTGCATATGCAAACTATTCAATTCCTTACTTCCCCTTCTCACCCCTCCTCCCAAAACTTATCTCCTTCATGTGCTGAGAAAATGAACTCTTTACAAAACTGGTGGGTTTGAGAAGAGCAAGGCTGTAACCAGTGTAAACTAGAAAGATGCCACAGAATCAGTACAGCAGAGCAATGTAAAATCAGATTATTTTTTAGTGCTTGAGCCCTAAACATAAACACATCAGATCAAAAAGAGGGATCAAAGATAATGTACACCAACCACATCCTTCCCTCTCTCCTTCACTTCCTTCATCCATCCCTATCCTTAGTTCACTTCAGAAATCCCCAAGTGCCAAGAGAAGCTCAGTTCCCTACAACACAGCCAAAACTAGGACAAATTATCACATTTGAAGTAGCCACAGGTCCTGTGCTCTGAAATATTTAATAAATAACCTTGCCAGAGGTTATTTACAAAGTCATAAACTAAAGTGTAGTAAGGAGTTTCAGGAACAAAACTGCAGTCAGTCCCAGAAACAGTTTATTACAACTGCTGCTATCAGATATTGCTAGAAGCACTAAAAGATTACTTTATAGAATCATGTGGAACTACAAAGGTACAAGTAGTTTGTGTAAAACCTGTACCAGAAAGCATGCATACAAGTTGTCTTCTCCTCCTGTGCTGTCCTTCAGCTAACACAAAAAACAAATCCCTTGTTTTGAGATCTGTAAAAGACTCAATGTTCACTGCTTTCCTAACTGTAAATGAAGCTGCCACTTAGATACTGTTATCCTTTTGCCTTGCTACTATAAGGCTCCAGAGCAGAAGAGCAGACATTGCTGACCTTGGAGAACATACTGGTGTGTAAGACTAGCAGACCTTCAGTCCCTGTATTCTGCAGTTACTACTCATCCAATACAACTTTCCTACTTTTCCCTGTCTAATGCTGCACTGTTTTCCCCATGAGACTACAGCAGCTCAGGGATCCAGATGTGCTACGCTCATGAAGACCCAGCGTAAGAGTGATAGAGCCTGGAGAAACATTTACTGAACAAGGGGAGCAAGACAGCTTGAAGCTGGAAAGAGACAACTGTTAACACAGCGCAGGAGCAGGGGCCAAAGACACGTTCGTGTTATTTTTAATCAATGTGAGTAGGAAAGAATGCATAGCCTGAAAAATAGAACAGATTACTTTGAGGAACTACAAATGTACAAGTAGTTTGTGTAAAACCTATACCCGAAAGTATGCATACAGGTCTTTTCTTTCTCCTCCTGTGCTGTCCATCAGCTAAAATAAAACAAGTCTCCTGTTTTGAGGTCTATAAAAGATTCAGCGTCTGCTGCTTTCCTAACTCTAAATGAAGCTGCTAATATGAAACACTGGTCTCATGGGGATCTTTCTTCATATAAGCATCAGACTGTAGCTGCAGCGGTGGTGGTAAAAAAATACAGGCAACTTCCACAGCAACAATATTTGGCAGGTGCCTGGCTGCCTACCACACCTATGGCCATTTACTCATTTTTGATTATGTGTAAATAAGTGACTAGGAAATACAGAGATACTGATGAGTTTGTCTTTGTGAAACTGTAACTGCCCAAGTCTAGTAACTTTTAACCTGACGGGGCGTCCATTGCAACAGCAGATAGAAGCAGGCAGTAGGAATACTAACACCCTTGAAACTCAGCAAGCAAGAGCAAGTTGTGCAGTCAGGCCACGTTACAGCCTTAAGCTCCTTTTCCCTGGAGTTCCTGCTCTGGAGAGTACACTACACTCATGGTCCTTTGAAACTATTGGGAAGAGCTAATGGGCTTCTATGACTACCTACTGAGTACAGCTGAACCTGACCACGTGCTCTTCCAAGACTGCTGTGCAGATGCATCACATTAGGCATGCAAAGCATTGACTACACTGAAGAGAGCTTAACCAAGTCCTAGGTCTGCTACCAGGATCTTTGCTGAGAGAACTAGATTATGTGAAATGCATCAGAACAAGGGGATGCGAAAGACCAGTCTGCAGGAAGTTTACTTTGGTCTGGACTAGCCTCCAAAAAGGTGCTTCACAGTTCTCCCATCTAGGCAAAAGTCCCACTGCACACAATACACAGCAGGTAAGGAAGGCACACAGTGTCAGGCCAGCATGTCAACTGCACTGCAGATCTCTTCATACACTTACTGTATCTCCGTCCAAGGGTGTTTAAGGGAGATGTTCTGCAAAGCAGTAGATGTTTGGGGTGCAGGCAAAGATGCTGCCTTTAAACCCACTGCTTCTGTTGGTGTTTTCACAAGAGGCAGAAAGTCTTCATTGTCAACTACATTTACAAATGTAAAAACAAAACAGGACAAAAAAGCAAATGAGCAAGACTGAATTCCATTGGACTTTGGGTCTTTCATGTAATGTATACTACAGGTATACATTACATGTTCAAGTGGCCAAGGACAGTAGGGTAGGAAAAATTAAGGAAACATTTTCCATTTCCTTAATTTTAGGTCAAATTACATAAATTTCCATGTACAAACAGAATGATCAACTCAAGGACAATCAAATTATTTCAACTATATATAAGAGCATGACTAACTTTAAACAATCAAACTTTAACTGCCCAAAGGTATAAGGAAGGAGAATTTTGCTGTTCTCTAACCACATTCCAAACCACATTTGATAGTTTTAATGGGCAGATAGCACTCTGCAAGCACAGTTTGTTACCAAATTTTTGCCTGCTGTAGAACCTTTTAGAGCAGACACTTACTAGGGAGGGGATTATTTGTTTCAAACAAAATGTGCATCTAATCATTACTAAACAGGTGGATACCCTGGTTGTGCCCTTCCCTGATCCACTGACCTGTCTACTACCACTTCTAGGAATGGATATCTCCTGCCCACTGCTGAAAAAAAACCTTACTTGCTCTAAATTTCAGAGGCCTTACAAGAGTGATATATCAAATGTGCACATTTCACATGTGTGAGGAAATCAAGATGATCACAAGACACCTGAAAATCTCCAAACATATGCTGTGGATTAGGAGGCCACTAACTCACTTTTATACATAATAAGGCAGAAGTGCCAAACATTGGCCAAGTACTGATAGTTGGCATCTGCATTTAAAAGCCTGGCCAAAACTTCTACCCATTTCCAGATGAGGAACACCATTCATCACCAGGGGGCTGAAAGTAAAAGAAAGGCTAACATGTGCAACACCTACTTGTTCTTCCAGCCAGAGGTTCATTCACAAGCTGGGAGCTGCCCACAGGAAATCTGCTCTGAATGTTGCAAAATTCCCAACGTCTCATTTGCAGCTGCTGCAGCCAGTACATCATTGCCTGTTTGCTGATTGCCTAACAAAACAGGAAAGGGAGTGGAATCATCTCATCAACACAAGACACAGCCTGAGGAGATGACCATCACTTTCCTGCACAAGCCAGCAGGAAAAAAAGTCAGCTGTATCAAGCCTATACTGTATCTGCATCCTCTGCTCCTAACACTGATTTGGGAGGACAGAGGAAGTCCTTAGCATGGCCTTAAGGGGTAGAATCTCAGTGGACCGCTGACTTAATTTTAAATGTGTTTTGGTTTATTACGGTCCAAGACTAAGCAGAAATGTCCCAATTGTTTTAGACAGGAAGCATCCCCAGAACTTTTTAACAATGACTTTACACAGAAATAAAAGTGTAGCAAAGAATCCTCTTGGAACAACCATTTTAGACAGAGGAGTTCATTTCTGTTCTGTAACTTACACATAGACTGCAAGACTCCTCAAGTATTTTAATTTGGCACACAGTCTGGCTTTTATTCCTACTATTAAACAACAGTCATCTCACAGGTAAGGAGTCCCAGACATGCCAAAACAATGCACGTAATTTAGGTCCAAGTGGTAGCAATCCAAGCTACGAGGACTTAAATGAAACTCAAGCTAAAAGATACCTTACTACAGATATGTCTGTCCTGACTGAGAATTTTTCATTACCTTCAAAGTAAAAGCTCTGCTCGGTGTTCTGATCTCAAAAACTCCTTCCCCATTTTCCATTTTGCAGTCAAAGCTGGCACTGGAGAGATCAATAGACCCCAAAGGATTAATGTCCTGGGCAGTTCTGTAGTACAGTAAGCGACATTTGTTTTCATCGTAAAAGAACCAGCGAGACTTCCAGGTCTTGATTGGCCCCTTGATGCCCAGCTTATTTAAATAACCACAGAGCTTCTTTCTTGATGTCTCTGCGCTGGTTGTCTGTTCTCCGGGAGAAGGAAGAATGTCTTTCTCTCTTGCTGAGGTTCCATTGTTGCTATTAGTGTCTGGATCTGACTCCACTAAATTGCCTGGAGCAGCAAGTGCACATGCTTCGCTTTCTGGTCCTTTCTTCATCTCTTTAAGGAAGTAGATTGAAACAGGAAATTCTCTAGGTAAATAAGCCAATCCCAGTTATATCATCACTGCTACAGAAACTGCAGACAACAAAAAAAAAAGGAAGGAATAAGTTCAGGTCTGCCATATGACAAAAAAATACATCCTAGCTTTCAAACTACCCAGCCAAGCTATCCAATTCTACTTTTGGTCATTGCTCCCTGCTCTCCTCTGCTCTAATGACCTCTAATACCTGTTTTTTCCCTTCTTTATTCCAAAATTAGGCTGGACTAGCAGCCAAGAAACAGTACCATAATCTCTTGTAGAAAAAAAAAGTACAGCCTGTGGGCATAACAAATCAATAGCAATGACCAGGGCATTCAGTACTTAATGTAAGGGAACAGCTGCAGAAAACATGGCAAGATAACCAGCTCTGGGGGTAGGCACATAGGTCAAGGAATTGCAGGTAAGTGTGTCCTGGTATTTGCACTGAATGTTCAACTAATATTTTAAACCATGGCATCTGGAGAAAAATCCAGCATTATGCAGCATCCTTATGAATATTTGTGTCAGCTGACTATAATTGTTAAAATGCCTGCATATTACCTGTTAGTTCTTCATCCAGTAGGAAAGATTCACATGATGGATTATGCACCAGAGAAAGTAATTCTGTGGTCATTGCAAAAGAGACTTGGTTGCCTTAGTGACCAAAGTAACCACCTGGGTCCCAGAAGTGTAAAAGAAAAAGATAAAACTCAGGCTGGAAGAGATCTTTGTAAATCTCGAGTTCAACTTATTTCTCAGAAATAAAAGCTGTAGCCAGCTTCACAGGCCCACATTCAAGTAAATTTGTCCTTATGCAAGGATGGCAATTTTGCCATGTTTCCAAGCACTTTTTCAAGTGCTTAACCATATGACAGATGTGATTTTTTGTTTAGAGCAGCAGATACCCACAGCTCCTGTAAAAAGAAAGCAAACAACTCTCCAGAAAAGTATCTATAAATAACTTCTTGCATTTTTTGAAACTTCAGTTCCAGACCCTAACATAGCTGAAACAAATAGTTGAGCAAATAAATCGCTGCAGTGTTAAGTTAGTGTGAAACCAGCTGCAGACACAAAATTATTCAACACAACATCCAGCTGTACGGCTCATATTAATGTATCTCATGTCAATGAGATAATACAATGGAGCACACTGAGATGTTTCCCAAGCTGATCTTTTTCCTCTGCTCTCAGGAACAACTTGTCTTCATAACTGAAAGAAGGTTTATGCTTCCTAGCACTGGCTAAGCCCCATCGTGTTTATTGCTGCCCCCTCCTGTTCCCACATTAGCTTTACAGACAATTATCAATAATGTTCACTCTTTGTGAAAAGCTATTTAAATTCTTTTAATTCACTCCCATGACACTGTGGATCATTCACAAATGCCAACAACAATCACAGAATCACAAATAACGAGGTTGGAAGAGACCTCTGAGTTCAAGTTCAACCTATGCCCTAACACCTCAACGAGACTATAGCACCAAGTGCCATGTCATGGACATATCCAGTCATGTAAGCACTTCTTGAGAAGGTGTTGCCTCAACTACGCTTCTGAAACACACAAAACCCCTTAATTTCCAAGCTAATTGTCACGAAGGAAATACCATCAGGAGGAACAAACACTTTCAACTTTCCCAAACACACCCTGGGAGTTTTACGTTAGTATCAGTATAAGTATCTTCTGTACCCTCTGCAGATTCTGTCACACTTCTTGCCAGCGTGGTGGTCCATGGGTCCACACTATAAACAGGACCAAGCAAGTATTTTGGGTTATTTAGTGAGCATTAGGTTCAACAACCAAGTAATAAGGAATCATGCCAGAGCTGCATTCAAAGACCTCTAGACAAGATCTCACCTCCTTAAGGGAAGTAGAGAGGAGCTCCTGGAAGTCACCGTCTCCTGGCATGGAGCTATTGCTGCAAGCACCACCAAGCAGGTACCCACAGCCTCCAACAAATCCAACAGCAACAGAAAAGCAGCATCTGTCTCAGGTTTTCTTCGGTCCAGTCACTGCCGAGGGGCTGTCTGAAAGATACATTTAGCCGAAAACCAACCTGACACCGACGGATCAGGGAGGGCCCTGCAAAAACCTTTCCGGAGCTGTTGGTGAGCTCAGCACAAGGCAGCCCCCACCGCCACTCCCCGTGCCTCCCGCAGCGCCGCAGAAGCGCCTCCCAGCCCAGCTGCGCCGCGCGGGTACCAGTGACGGCGACCGGAGCCTGGCACGGGGCTGGCCCGAGCCTGGCACCGCTTGTAGCAGCGCGCAGCTGAGCGCTCGCCGCTCGGGGGGTTTGAAGGGAGGCGGAGTGGCGGCGCGGTAACCCGCACCCCCGCCGTGAATACCGGAATACCTGCGGTGGCCGCCGCCCCGCGCTTCCTGCCGCGCCGCTCTGCGGCGGCGCCGGCGGGGCGGGGCCCGGCGGCCCCGGGACAGCGGCGGGGACACGGCGGCGGAGCAGGAGAGCGGCGCTGCGGGGGATGTCCGCTGTAGACGTGGGTCAAATAACAGCAACAACAATAAAGGGCATTTCAGACGGGTTTCGGGAAGTCAGTGATTCATCAGGGTGATGCGATCCGCCGAAGGCAAGCGAGCAAGCTCGTGGGTTAGACGGGACCAGCAAGTACTATCTGCCATGAGGGCACTTCTCTCCAGAGATGCAAAAGCACCGGGTGGTGGATGTAGACGCTGTAAGAGGTACGGCTGTGCAGTCGGCTGGGGCAACTCAGCTCAGTCAAGCACATTTCACAGGGTTAGAACAGTGGTAAATTGGTGAGCTGGGACACTGGAGGCTGATAGGAACAAGCAGCACCAAAGGAAGAAGCATCTGGAAAAGATACAGTGAGGAATAGGGGTGTCAGACTATCCTAATGAAGCAGTGTAGGTCCTGGGGGCACAGCGGACTAGATGCACAGCACAGCCGGGTTCACATGCTCTCTAACAGCTGCATTTCCTCCTACCAGCTAGGCACTGCTGGCCTTGGCAGGTGCTGTACTGGCCTGGGAAAGTACTTCTTATGCCTCTATCCCAAAAATAAGGAGTCTGGATGGCTTTGATTTTCCTCGTGTGCAGTGTCTTTTCCAATGGTCTCAAAAAAGCCGTCTCTGAGTTCAGAAAGTGTTACTGAATTTTATCACTGACTTTAGCCAAGTTTAGTACTAGAACAGTGGAAAGCAAACTTGTCCAGGTGTGGCCCATCTTCCCACTGGCCTAAACTGCCAAACTGTAGAGCACAAAAAGCTGATTACAGCATGCAAAATTTACAGATTGCCATAGACAAAAACCATTTGTCTCAAATTTTTGTTTTCTTGGTATTTGGCCAGTAGACTGGATCACAGAATCACACAGAATCACAAAATTCTTAGGGTTGGAAGAGATCTCTGGAAACCATCTAGTCCAACCCTCCCTGCCAAGGCAGGATCACCTAGAGTAGAATGCATTCTTCCTTGTGCCAAGGTGAAAGTTCTGGTGTTTTACTTTAAGGCCATTGCTTCTCATCTTGTCACTGGGTATCACTGAAAACAATCTGACATCATCTTGTCACATGCCTTTGAAATACTTGGATGTATTGATGAGATCCCCTCTCAGTCTTTTCTGAACTGAACAGGCCCAGCTCCCACAGTCTCTCTTCATAAGAGAGAAGCTCCAGGCCCCAAATCATGTTTGTCTACACTGGACCTTCTTCAATAGCTCATTGTCTTTATTAAACATCATCAGTACTGACTGACTGAGTCTCGTTCCACTAGGAAAAGGGGGAAGTGTGAAGAGTATAACTGATTGCATGAAGTCCTTCTTTCCCCTGAAGGCTGAACTACCTTCTCCCTGTCAGCGACATCTGGAGAGAGGTGGCAGAGTGTGACAGAAGCATCGGCATCAGGACAGCACTAACCTATGTGAAGACTGGCCTGTGAGTGCCTTGGAAGCTTCTGCTGGAGTGCTTCAGCTGGCTAGTGCCCAAATGGCTCCAAAAGAATCATCCTACTCCCACTGTCATCTTGTACATTGGCACTGGCAAGGCTGCGCATCAAGTGCCATGTCCAGTTCTGGGCTGCTCACTTTAAAAAGGACACTGATGTGATGGAGCATGTTTGGAAAAGGGAATAAAGCTCACAAAAGGACCAGAAAACATGTCTTATGGTAATTGGCTGAGGGAGCTGGGGTTGTGTGGTCTCCAGAAGAGGAGGCTCAGGGCTGACCACATTGCTCTCTAAAACTCCCTGAAAAGAGGATGTAGTGAGGTGGGGGCCGGTGTCTCCTGCCGTACCTGCAGTGAGAGGACAAGTGGAAATGGCCTTAATCTGAGACATGGGAGATCCAGATTACATATTAGAAGAAAAAAAAAAAAACTTATCTCTGTTAGGGTGGTCAGGCATTGGAATAGGTTTCCCTGGGAGGCGGTGGCGTCCCCCACCCTTTTTGTTTAAGCATCTGGATCAGGAGATGTGGTTTGAGGGTTACAGTGGCAGTGCCGGGTGGATGGTTGGACTGGGTGACCTTAAAGCTCTCCTCCAGACTGGGTTATTTGTGCAGGCTCGCTAGGAGCTGAGCTCCCGAGGACTCGCAGCGCTGCATTTCCCGCCGCACGGCGGCTCGGTCCGAGCAGAGGAACGATAGGCCGCGCTCCGCCCTGCGAGAGGGGCACCCGCGCACGGCGCCTGCGCCGCCCGCCCGCGCTGCGCGACATGGCGGCGCCGTGAGCTGGTCACGGTGCCTGGAGTGCCTCGTGCCCGGCCTCCGCCGCTGCCCGGCCGTCCGCCATGAGGAATCTGAGGCTGCTGCGGGCCGGTGGCTGCCGCTCCACCGCCGCCAAGGGCACTCCGCAGTGCTTCTGCCTCGGCGCCGAGTCTGGCACGGTTCTTGTGGGCTCCCAGTACGGGCTCGTGGAGATGCGCCCCGCCGGGAATTCGGTGAGAGCCGTGGCTGCGGGGCAGGGTTCTGGTGCTTGCCGGCGTGTTGGGGTCGGCATTTGGTTGCTGGAATGAAGCGTTTGCGACAGGAACTCGCCTGTCTCCTGATGCGGCGGGGTCTGCGCCCCTTGGCGCGGGGTCTGCGCGGTCTCGGACCCTCCCGCTTCTCCCCGCCGCCGCTTGCTGCTGTCTCACGGTGCCGTGGAAGCCGCTGCACTGTGATTTCGGTGGTTGAAGAGGCTTTCTGTGCTTCTAAAATACTAAATCTTCCTTTTTGGGAGTGTGTTAGACGCTTGTCATTCGCGTGGTTTAGTCTTAAGCACGATCTGGCAAATAGTGCATTCGGACAGGCTCACAAAACAGAACCAAGCAGGCAATGAGATAGTGAAGTGTACAAGAGGAAGCTTTGGGAACTTTGCACTAGGTGGAGGGGGGGGGGGGGGGGGGGGAAGAAACCCCAACATACCACTAAATAGAATGCTGTTGAGTCATGAATTCCTGTTAGAGCTGGGTTGCTTTATTATTGTACAACTCTGAGGCATCTAATTCTTTCAGTACATTCACTTCTGAAATTAACTGACAGAAAAACCTTTGAAGCATTCTAGAGATTTAATTTTCAACGATTGCTGTACCTTAACCATACAAATTATTTTCTTTAGAAATTGTTTTTTATGCTGAATGTAGTAGTCTGCATGCCCCCTTAAGAGCAGTGGGACACTTTAAGCAGCTACCCATACACCTCTTAATGTTGATTCTGTGAAAAGGGTGTTGAAAGATGATTAGCAGGGCAAATTGGAAGTTGTGTATTGTTTGCTTCCATGTGGGTTTTCTCATTTTCTTCTATTACTTTTACTATAAGAGGATCTTATCTTATGGGTAAGTGAAGACAAGTACTTCAAGTTGTCTTTTTCCTGGTGCCATTCACACACTCGCTTCTAATGTGTAGTGCTTTGTGTAAGTGCAGTATGATAAAATATACCTATGTCTTTTGCGCTGTCATTTCTGCAAAAATCCTTGAGAGGTGATGTATAATTAGTAAGACATTGGCCTTTCTGTGTCAAGGTATCAAGAGAAGTTTCCCTGACTGTGGATGGGTTCTTGCCTGAGGATGGAAGTGGCTGTATCGTGGGTGTTGAAGATCTTCCAGAGCAGGAGAGTGTGTGTGTTGCTACAGCAGCTGGAGACATCCTTCTGTGCAATCTGAGCACAGAACAGGTAACATGCCAGGAAATACTCAATAGTACTGAGGAAATTCAGAGGAGACAGTAACATTTAGGATTTCTTTTAGGGTCAGTTGTACACTTATTGCATACTGATTTGTGGCTAGTCTCCATTCTCTGGGCAGCTGTGGGTCTCAGATTCAGTCAAAGAGAGAAACAGAGAGTTTCTAGCCAGGCAGAAGCCTGGGAAAGAGTTGGAGAAAAATGTAAATAATTCTTTATCTCTCTTGTTGTTCACATTGTTTATAGTTAAGTTCTATCACTGTGCGTCAAGTACTTTGCACCAATGCTGTGGGTTGTTTCCACTTCAGGACCAATGGAATTTGTTCTCATGAAGCTCTGTATAAAAGAGCAGTGTATTTTGAACAAACCGGAGTTTCACTCTCAGCAGCCTTCTGAGTCAGTCTTCTCATTCCCATCCTGCCTCAACAGTGACAGGCAGCCAAGATTTTTGTTTTTTATGGTATCCCTGGGAATGACTAAAGACAGAATATATACTGTGTAAAAGAACTGGAATTGAAATGATGGTTTGCCTGTCCACAGCCTGGGTCTTCTAAGTTTGCTCAGTGGGCTCCCAGGAGCAAAGGATCAGCTGGAGAGTCTTACAGAAACAGGATATTGCTGAGACTAGGTAAAGAATAAAGTAATCCATTCATAATCCACTGTATAGCTACCATTTTGTTACCAGTTGATAAATGTTGACATGACTTAGGATATTGCAGAAACTGATACTTCCTGTCTGCTCCTTCTTCGGTATCATCTTCAGCAAGACACTTAAACACTGCAACAGCACCCTCTGAAATCTGAATCAACTCCCACAATACCAGTCCAACAGTGCAGGTTTAAGTGGGCATAAGATGATAATGGTCTGTCTGGGTTAGCTGTAAAATTGTGGTTATTTGCAGCTTGTCTGTTTTGGTTCATGTTTGCACTTGATTTGCAGATACCACTTAAATATGCAATTAGCTGTATCTGAAGAATGTGTCCTGTTTTGCAACTTACAACATGTCATGAGGGAATAAAAATTAAGAGAGTTTTTGATACAGGAGACTTTTTTGCGGTGATAGTTGTGTCAGAGAACAGGTTTAACTTCAGATTCTCTATTTTGTGGGTTTTCGGCTTACTTTTCTGGTTTTTTGCTTTACTTTCCAGTCTACTTTTGGTGCAGTCTGGGCACCAAGAAGGAGGTCTGGAAGAATCCTCTGCTTATTCTGAAAACCTTTCTATGTGAGTGATAGTTACTCTGTTGACAGGTGCCCAGTCTCATTTTTCTTACCTGGAAAGACTGTGACACCCGAGCCTAATTTCTTGAATGGCATCATCTTGCTTTTTATCACAATGAGTGGTGTATTTGTTCTTCTGTTCCATGCATTTTGCAAATCGGAGTAACTATGCATAACAAAAGTTCTCTGCCTGCTGCTACTACTTGCTCATGACTAGCCCAGTTTTCCATAAACTTTGACATTGGTGCAGGTATGTATAGTTGTCAAGTTCAGCATACACAGGCAGTCAGAATTTACCTGTGTGTTGGAATTATCTAGGTAAGAATCATTATGTCTGTGTTTTGTTACTGAAGAATATTTACTAAGTAATGACAGGCCCTTTCAGGCCGTATTAGTATTGAGACTATATGTGCTGACATAAGCTGAGAGTCGCTGAATAAAGCTCCTTCTAAAACAGTGTATGGTAGAATGTGCAGTGCTTGGGCTGTCATTCATAAACATTCTTGAGCCATTTTTAGTCAGAAATATGTCTTTTGTTTTGTTCAACACAAAGTGTGAAGTTAGACTTTAGAATTTTTTAAAGTAGAAGGCAGTTTTCTTTTCCCTTGGTGACTGTTTGCTTTTGTGCTAAGATAGTGCGGCACTCATGTTCCTGTGATCTTATTTTGGTCTTGCAGGTGGAATGTGTTGGAAGTGTGGACGGTGGTCTGAGTGTGATGAGCTGGAGTCCCGACCAAGAGCTTGTTTTGCTTGCAACAGGTATCAACAGCAGCCTGTAAGCTTTTTGCTGTAGGAGTGAAACTCTCTATGACCAAAGCACAAAACATAACCAAGATTGAGAGAGAGAGGACGAAAAAGTTAGAAGCTGGGACTAGGACTTAAAGTGGAAAAGATTCTACCAGACCCTATATATTAGATTCCATTTCATGGTTCATAAGCTGTTTCAGAGATCCAAGCAGAAATTGGTTAGGCCCAAAATGCTGCTTTGTGGAAGAGTTTTTAGTCCTTAAAATCTTCCCAGGGAGTACATTTGATCTTGCCTCAAAAATACAAAGACTTCTTTGTATCACCATTTGCCTTCTTCATAACAAAAACTGTTTCTTGGCCTTTGGTGTGAAATATATGTGTCACAAGCCCTGATTAATTACAGGTGTGACTCATCTAGAAAATGAAATTAGCTTCAGACAAAACAGAATCATAGAGTGCTTGAGACTGAAAGAAAACTCTGGAGATTGCCTATTCAAACCACCTTGCTCAACTTCTCTTACCTAGAGCAGGTTGCTTGGGGATTTCACCCAGTTAGGTCTGAGACCCCACAACCCTCTGGGCATCCTGTTTGTATGTGTTACTGCCCTCAAAGTAAAAAAAAAAAAACAAACTTTTCTTAGGCTTTAAGGGAATTTTCTGTATTTTAGTTTGTGCCCATTGCTTCTTGTGTTTTCCCTCAACACCACAAACCATATGGCTGTGTTTGTTTACTGTACCCTACCTCCCGCAAAATATATTTATACATGCTGATGAGATTCCCTTGAAGCCTTCTCTCCAGGGCAGTCTGGCTTGTCTCAGCCTCCACTCGTGACAGATTTTTCAAGCCCTTAATCATCGTTTTGACCCTTTGCAAGACTCACTCCAATATGTCCTTGTCTGTGTTGCACTAGGAAGCCCAGAAATGGAGTCCACATTCCATGTGTCTCACCAACACTGAGTAGAGGAGCAAGATGCCCTCTCACAGCCTTCTGACAGCACTCTTAATGCAGACAGGATGCTGTTGTCCACCCGTGCAGCAGGGTATACTGCTAGCTAGTTCAGCTTGGTGCCTCGGGAAGCATAGTTTATTGGTTTTTGCCAAGCTGCTCTCCAGCCACTTGATTCCCAGTCTGTTTTAGTTCCTGAGATTAATATTTTCCATATGCAGGACATTTTTTCTTGTTGAGCTTTATGAAGTTCATAAAGCCCATCTTGCCTACATGACAGGGTCCCTGCTGACAGCAGCACAACCTTCTGCTGTATCTGCTGCTTTTCCCAGTTCTGTGTCCTTTACAAACTTGCAAAGGGTCCCATTCCTTGTGTCATTAAGGACAATGTTAATCATTGCCCCTAGTGTCCAGGGTCGTGCCAGTGACTGACCTTGAGCTGCACTTACTGACTAGTGCTAGCAGGCTTTTGAGCTTGGCAGTTCATCTGGTTCTCACTGTCCTTTTATCTGTCTATACTTCATGGATTTATCCATGATGATGTTGTGGCACACAGCATCAAATGCCTTATTAGAGTCAAGATAAATGAAATCCACTGTACTCCCCATATCCACAGCGTGGTCATCTCATTGTAGGAGGTTATTGGGATGGTATGATATCCTCTTTATAAATGTATGGTGACTGTTCCCAGTCACCTTCTTGTCCTTCATATCTCCAGAGAAAAGGAACCAAGTACTTGTTTGGAACGTGAAAAAACTTACTACGGTTAGGCCGGGAAGCATATTTTTGAGGAGAAAAACTTGGAAGTGTTCTATTCCAGTTTAAGGTTTCATGCTTTGAAGGATATGTTCTCTCTGGTACCGTGTTTCCTGTGTTCAGGTCCATGACAGAACAGCAGGAGCACACAGGAGAACACTTGAGGGTTTATTTGCTCCAGATACCAGTACCAGTTAGGTCTGAGACCCCACAACCCTCTGGGCATCCTGTTTGTATCTGTTACTGCCCTCAAAGTAAAAAAAAAAAAAAACAAACTTTTCTTAGGCTTTAAGGGAATTTTCTGTATTTTAGTTTGTGCCCATTGCTTCTTGTGTTTTCCCTCAACACCACAAACCATATGGCTGTGTTTGTTTACTGTACCCTACCTCCCGCAAAATATATTTATACATGCTGATGAGATTCCCTTGAAGCCTTCTCTCCAGGGCAGTCTGGCTTGTCTCAGCCTCCACTCGTGACAGATTTTTCAAGCCCTTAATCATCGTTTTGACCCTTTGCAAGACTCACTCCAATATGTCCTTGTCTGTGTTGCACTAGGAAGCCCAGAAATTTCCTAGTACTGTATTTAATATCTGCCTTGCAGGTCAGCAGACACTCATCATGATGACAAGGGATTTTGAACCAATTACTGAGAAGCAAATCCACCAAGATGAGTTTGGAGAAGGTAAGAGGTGCACTGAAATAAAGTTGCCGTAGCTGATGTAATTGGTATGTTTTAAGCACGTGGAAAGTAAGGAAATGGAACTGAGCACTTTGAGGCCCCAGGAGATATTTTGTTTAGACTGTAATGCTGCTGGGCAGCTGAAGGGTAAAGTCAGTATTGTTACTTGTCAGCATAAATTCAAATAAGTTCCATGTACCTAAGTACTTCCTAGAATATATAACTAAACTAACCAGCAGGTTTTTAGAATAAAAAAGGGGAGAGGGTGTGTCACCATTAAGTCAGAAACAGGAGTGAGGTGGCACGCAACTCTACACTCTTCAGCAGGCTAATACAAGTTTTATTAGAAACCCATTCTTTTTATACACCATTCCAATACAGGTGGACCTGATTGGTCATTTAATCAACACCCTGTCACCATTGGCTAATTAAGAAGACTCTCTTTGGTAAACATCTTATGGGAAAATAACTGTTCAAAACACCAGCTGCAAGATTGTTTTAATTCTTTCTCTCAGTGTTCTCAAAACTCCCCCAGAACAATTCCTGGGAAAGTTTATCTGGCTTTCTCTCTCTAACCAGACTCTCTAACATCCACAAAGGTGTGGGTTCGTTGAGGTTGTGGTTGTGTACATAGTGCACAGTAGTTAAGGTATTATCTGTAAATCTTCCACTACAAGAATTATTTCTTCTCCAGGAAAGTTTGTTGCTCTTGGCTGGGGTAAAAAGGAGACACAGTTCCATGGATCAGAGGGGAAACAGGCAGCACATCGTAAACAGACGGTATTATACTGCTTTTTTTGTGTCAAGCCAATGCTCTCTCAGGGTAAACATGGTTAAAGAGAGTTTCTGTTACTCCTGTGATGCTGATTTGCCACCACCTTTCTGGTATTTCTCTTCATATGCTGCTATTATTTGTTTCTGTGTTGTCTGAAATCACACATTTTTATCTTTATTTGAATTCAAGCAAGCATTGGAGAGTACTTACTTTTCAAACAAAGCTCAAAGTTAGATTTGCAGCTATTCCAGCATCAATCTTGAATAAATCTCAGTTCGCCGTGTGTCCAGCTTATGCACTGCTGTCTGAAAGCAGAGACCCCAGTGGATGGGAAGTATAGTTTGTGGTGGTCATGTGAAGAGACAGTCATATGCACTTGGAGGAGGAACAGATTGAATTTAATAGTTTTAATTCTAGTGTTTCCTAAAACAACATTTTGAATAGTGAGTTTTTAACTTACTAGTCTTGACACTTTTTAATGGATGGATTTCATCCTAAGACTCTTAAAAGAGCAGTCTTTTTAGACATATACAGCAGTTGCCTTCCCAAGCTTTGATGCAACTTTCTTTTGTGCGACTTCAGGAAGTGTTACCAGCATCAGCCTGGGATGATGGCAGGCCTCGGGTGACTTGGAGAGGAGACGGGCAGTTTGTTGCAGTGAGTGCTGTCTGTCCAGAGACGGGTATGGCACCACATTTCTTTGAAATACCAGTGTGTGTAAAGGGCTTCTTAAGCAGAATCTAGGTAAGACAAGGACTGTTTGTGATCTGTTGCCCACTTAAAGCGAGGGTGAGTTGAGCTATTTAAGTGCCCTTTGCTCTGGTGTTCTCAGAGCCATTTTATAAACATGATATTTTGAATACTTTCTATGTGGTTTGGTTTTCAGTTCAGTGAGATGCCAGGAGGGAGTACTACTTTGCAAATACTATCTGAACTATTTATTTCACCTACTCAAGCTTTAAACAATACCTAATAGGCTTTCAATGCCAAATGGGTGAATATGTTTGGGTTCATATACCCACTGTCCCTTATATTAGAGTTTAGCCTTGCACACTTTCTTTTAGATACTGGTGATACTTTTCCCTTGGTTTTGCCCTGAAGTCAGAGAAGTGATGAGCATATGCACTACTTCTAAGACTGTAACTGATGTTTTTCATGATAAATACTACTTTCTGAGCAGTTTTAATGTATTGGTTAACATATTGAATTGCATCAAACCACACTCTTCTTCCACTTGTTTGAATTTTTACCTTCAGTACTTCAGATTAGGGAGGATTGTAAATTTATAGCAAGATTTTAACATTTCTATGGTGAAAGTTGGAGTGAAAAATGATTATAACTGAACTACATCAGACTGAAATTCCTAACACAGTTCTTTAGTCACTTGGTTACTATGGGAGAAGTACCTGACACAGAATAAATTCTTAGCCCTTTAAGTGTACAAGAGAAATCTCCTTTTTATGCATGTGCATCAAAATTTGCTCTTCACCCTCAAAAAATTAGGAAAGTCTCTTCCCAGTTTTCTTAGACCTTTGTCTCATTGCTTTCTCAACCTGTAGGTGCTCGGAAGGTCCGGGTATGGAGCCGAGAGCTTGTGCTGCAGTCTACAAGTGAGCCTATCTCAGGATTAGAGCAAGCGTTGTCCTGGAAGTGAGTAGTACTCCAGTGTGCATGCTGACAGCAGTGGTGCTTGTTATTCCCTGGTCACAGTCTTTGATCAGCATAATTTTAATTTCTTCAGCATTTTGTTGATTTTTCCCAAAATTTGAAGAAAGTTGCCTTCTGATTCAGCATGAGGAAGAGTAGCCCTTTAAACCCTAATAATCCTAATACTTGCATCTCAAGTGGGAAGAAGGGATAGAGTCTCTGCATAGAGGCAGTGAAAGTGGTTTTGGGCTGAGCTGTATAAAAAGAAGTATTACAGGTTCCTTTCCTAGTGCTGACATTTGGTCACCTGTGAGTATCATAAGCTCTGATCTGTGCTGGATCTATGACTGACTGAACAGTGCTGAGGAAAATACATCCTCTACTGCCTTTTTCTTCATATCACTGGAAAAAATGTGAGATGGTGGGTTTAGCATGACAGTTAGTGATTGTGTGAGCAATTAATTTTCTTTTGGCTCTTTTTTAAGGCCCTCAGGAAACCTGATAGCATCTACACAAGAAAAACCCAACAGACACGATGTAGTTTTTTTGGAGAAGAATGGACTTCTTCATGGAGAGTTCACCCTCCCTTTCCAGAAAGGGCAGGTCAAAGTAAGTTCCTTGTCTGGGCTTCTTTGATGAGTGTGTAATGGACATAAGGACTAGATCTCTTCCAGATTCTAGGAAGAGGTTTTTCACCTAATACTCATGCTTTTCATAATGAGAGAAGAAATGACCTGAAAAGAGAACAATGAAGAAGCCTGTGGAGAAGATGCAATGCCCTCTGCAAGCCCATAGTACAAAGACATGTAGTAAAGGATGATTGTAGCCCTGGGCTACTTTTGTGCTCTATATACTTTATACTAGGCAAATTATTCAAAAGTACTTTTCAGCATGTCAGCCATTGCAAGAATGAGGTTTTATACTCATGTTATCCCAAATAAGTAAGAAGCTATTGCTAGGACATTACTTCAGTTTCTGTGCTTGGATGCTGAGAGGTCTTTTGGCAGATGCTTAACTCGGTGTCAAGGAAAGCAAAGAGAAGGCTGCTGTCACTTTTGTGGCCTCTTCATCTGTGGTCTTCTCAGGATGCCTTGTCAGGAGCTTTGCAAAACACAGGAGCTCTCTATATTAACTGATGTACCTTTTGTTGTTGGGGCACCTCCCCCTTGTAAACTCTCTGGGAGCAAGAATATCAGCAAGAGCCATGTTTGTTTCTGCAGGTTAATGAAATGCTTTGGAATGCAGATTCTACAGTCCTGGCTATATGGCTGGAAGACCTGAAGGTGGAAAAGTCCAACCCAAAGACTTATGGTGAGAGCACTCCATGAGGCTCTGGCTCTTAACATTTGCCTGCAAATGTCATTAGCAGTGGGTACTTACCTGCAGGGTAGGAGACATTGCAGAGGCTTGCCAGTGGCTTTGAGGCTGCTGTGCTGGTGTCATGGTTTAACCACAGACAGCAGGCAAGCCTCACAGTCACTTGCTCACTTCCTCACTAGCAAGATTATGGAAAGAATCAGGAGGGTAAAAGCTGGAGAACTCATGCGTTGAGATAGTTTACTATGAAGAAGAAAAGCCCATGTATGCCATAAAAAGCAAAGCAAGGAAATAATTCACCACTTCCCTTGGGCAGGCAGGTGTTCAGCCATGTCCAGGACAGTAGGACCCATCACATGTAATGGTTACTTGGGAAGAAAAATGCTATCATTTCAAATATCCCACTCTTCCTCATTCTTTCTCTCACTTTATATATGAACATGATGTCATGTGGTCTGAAATACCTCTTTAATCAGCTGGAGTCACCTGTCCTGGCTGTGTGCCCTCCTGACATCCTGTGCGTCTCCGGGTTGCTTGCTAGTTTGGCAGTACAAAAAGCAGAAAAGACCTTGGCTTTCTGTAAGCTCTGATCAGGAATAACTGAAACATCACTTATCCACTCTGTGTTCAGCACAAAGCCGAAACACAGTTCCGTACTTGGCACTGTGAAGAAAATTAACTACTCCAGCCAAAACCAGCTGAGCTGGTGAGGAAGAACTGGTAGTTCAGCCTGAGTTCAAAACATCTTCCAAGCTGCTGTAATTGTAAGTGGTACAAATGGAATAGTAAAGGTCTGAGCCCTTCATTAAACAAGGGTACTGTCTCATAAGAGTAGCTCAGTGAATTTTAGGATTGACTTTTGCACAGTGTATTGTTTTCTTGTGCTGTATGTTGTATGACACAGCTCATTGACTGAAGACTAGAACTGTTATTTTAATTGCACTTAACGCACCTGTAGAAGGGCAGTGGTGATTGGGAAGGGAGTGTTTGAGCTGGGTCTCGAATACTAGTCTGTAGTAACTTTTTCTGCAGTTCAGCTGTGGACCACAGGGAACTATCACTGGTACCTAAAGCAAAGTCTACACTTCAGTAGCTTGGAGGAAAATCAGTTGGTGTCACTGCTATGGGACCGAGAGAACCTGTACAGACTGCATATACTCTGCCAGGGCTGGCATTACCTCTTCTACGACTGGCACTGGAGCACAGACCATGGGCTGGGGGAGAATAGCCAACATATGGCAAATGTGGCTGTAATAGATGGAGGTAAGCAGTGGGACAGCTTTCCAGCTCTAGGGTCTGAAAAGGTGGGGTAGCCTTTTGTATTCAGTTCTTCTTTTAATTGTTTCTACAACACTTTTAGGGAGGGATCCACGTCATTGACAGATGTTTGAGGGTTAGCTCAATGAAGATAACCACTAAGCACACCAGCTATTTTCCTGTAACATTATTTCTGCTTCCAATAAAGAATCCAGGAAGAGCTTAATTAACATTTGGACTGGGGTTCATCTTGGATTTTCTTCTCTTTTCTTCCACAGATAAAGTGCTTGTCACAGCCTTCCAGCATGCTGTGGTGCCTCCACCCATGTGTACTTATGAGCTCCAGCTCCAACAGGCAGTTAATCAGGTTGCATTTCACACAGATCCCAAACATAGTGGGGACATGGTTGTCCTGGATGCTGATAACAGGATCTCTGTGTACAGATACGGTGAGAGTATGTTGCAACCTTGTTAAAAGAAGCCCTGTGTTCTGAGAACAGTACCTTGGGAGACTAGTAAGGTCATGGTCACTTAAATCTTTACACAAGACATACTTGGTTTAAGTGTGAGTTCAAGCTCTGCTCTCATTTCCAGTAGTTTGAGTGACATAGAAGCATTTTGGAAGTTCATTGACTTTGTGAGAAGACCGTGTTTGGCAATTATTACCAACTGTGGTGGTAATATTCCCCTGCTTAGTTTCAGCTTGAGTGCAGCACATGGTTGCATAAGCTGTTCTGATGGAATGATGCTGACTGTCACTGGGAAGTGTCTTGAGAATCTGTCTGGGGCACCCAGCACTTCCCAAAGCAGTTCTGTATACAGTGTGCTGTGAGGAAGCAGCTGTTTTGTACTGCAATGTTGGAGTGTGACTGCCTTCTTCAAAGTGACTGTTAATGAGGATTACATTTTGGCTGTACAAGTAGGGATGGCATTTTCTGACTTTTTTAATACTTCCATGTAGCATCTACTTTTTGAGAAGATTGAAGATGGAAGGGAGTCTGTTGGGTGTCTCTCTAAACTCTGCTTTATTCTGCTTTGTGTTTGCTAGGACAGAGTACAGTGAATGATCCTTCTGTCAAGTTTGGAGCTGTGGGAGGAAATGGCTTTAAAGCAGCTGTGGAAACACCGTACCTGGATAAAACCTACAGGTAATATAGAACTATTACAGCTGTAGAGGGGAGAAGAGGGTTGTACCTGACTGGATTCTTTAGAGGTCACAGCTCTTACCACTTTTCTCGAGATTTTTAAGAGGCTATCAAATAACATGGTTTTATTTTGTTGACACTGTGTCTGCAACTAGTGCTGAGAAAGGCCCTTTACTACGGTCTCCATCTAGTGGAACCAGTTAATGACAGCAGTGAGATATCTCTTCCTGTGCCTTCCTGTGCCTGGTGGACAAAGGAATAATGGTGCGGTGCCCAGGCCCATGATTACAACACACAGACCAACAGAGCTGCTTGCATAGCAGAGAGATTGATGGGGTTAAAAATCCTATCATGCTCTCTGTTCCTAGAGGTAGTTGGCATGGAAGCAGTACTACCTAGGGAAAACCAGATGGAGCTTCCTAGGTCTCATCCTTTATCTTCAGCTCAGCCTATGGCAGGATTCATGCTTCGAGTATCTATATTTCTGGACTAGAACCCTCCCAGCCATGCTGTGTGTTTAAGCAGCCAGGCTGTGCCTAGGAAGTCCTCTGCCTCTATAGTGAGGTGGCCTACTAAAATCAGATTCTATTTGTGACCCAACTTCTCCTGTTTTGTGACAGAGTTGATGTGAGCAGCAGCAGCAGTGAAGTGATGAATCCGCTGGGGCTCCGATTTCTCACGTGGCTGCCAAATGACAGCTTCCTGGTTGTTGGTCAAGGTCAGCATGCTGCTCAGTCTGTCCTTCACCATCTGACTGCAGTGCCTCACGTGGCTGGAGCTGAAGAAGAGTGCCTGAATTTACGGTATTAGAGATCTGTCAGTTGTGGCTGAAGTCTGAGAACACTTCTGAACAGTGCCTAGAAGGAATTAAGTCTCTTACTAGCCTGGAGGCCATGGGTTAAGGAATTTGGCTCTCTTCTGATGGGAAAACCAAACAGCTTATGAAGCTGCCTACTGGTCAGCACTTGCCTGTAGTCCTAATGCCTAAACCCAGCCTGGCAAGATGGCATGCCTAGCATGCCAGTATCAGTGCCCGATAGCTCTGTTCCTTGGAATTCAAGGCCGTTAGGGCAGAGGGGATGGCACATGACACTGAATTCCTCCGTTCCTTTGCCCACCATTATCAAGGGGACCAGAAGGGGACCAGTAGCCATCGAAATTGCTTTCCTCCTCCTCCTCACCTTGCTGGTCTTTGTGGGACCAGTTGAGCTAAAACCAGACACAAAAGAAAGCCACCTGGGGTGCAGAAATACCGTTCCCAAAGAGATCAGGAGAGCTGCTTTTTGCAGCACTCACCCAGCAAGGACAGAATGATTTGCATGTGAACTGTAGAACAGAAAAAGAGGGGTATGTTTGCAGAGTGCTGCAGTGCAGACAGTGACCAGCACAGTTAGGCACATGCCTGTTGGCTGGAGTTGCTGGTGCTCTGCGATGCCACTGTCAGCTGACATAAGTGTGAGAAGACTGCAGATCTTTATATGAACAAAGTATGTCCATGCTGGAGATGTGCATCTTTTCATCTGGCTAGAAGAAATGCAGGACTGAGGTATCTGCACTTAAGTGTTATCTGCTGTGACTGATGTTCTATATTTCCTCTGTCTTGCATCAGATTGTCAGTGCCTGTAGATGGAGAAGTGATCAGCCTGTACTGCAGCCCTGTGACCAAAACTGTAGCTCTGCAGCTGACTGATGGACGAATCTTAACATACCTGTGGGGTAAGCTGGGCCCTGTTAAAGTACCTGGTCTTAGGTGTAGTTGTTATATATTTCTTAAAAGGTTTAATGAGATGATTTTACTTTCTGGGACTTGAGTGACTCTTACTGTGTAGTTGGTGCTGCTTTTATATTTCCTCCTCCCAGAAATGGGCTGAATAAAATTAGTGATTTTTGTCAGAATTCAATTAAAGATAGCTTTATATATATACATATGAATTTGCACACACAAAGTTCAGTGCTGACTGACTGCAACATCCATAGATCTTCTCTTTTCATTCCACTGTTGATAAAGGCACTACTGGGCCACTGGAAGTTACTACCTTCTTGTCTGCTGTGTCGTGGATTTCTGTCCAGCCTTCCTCCCCTCTTTCAGATAGTGTGGCTTATTCCCAGTTCTGGTTTTCTTAAGATACGTGTCATGTGGTTTTAATGTCTGAGTTTTTGATTGGCTGGAAAACAATTAGATCTTCTTTGCTCCTTAGAGGCTTCTACTCCAGTCCTTGAGCCCTGGCAGAGTAGCAGTAGCTCTGCTGTTCAGTTCCCCTACTGTTGTGTGCAGACTTCCATCACAAGGATCAGCGGTGAAGTAAGTGAGACTGAAGCAGATTAAATTCCCTACTCAGTTGTTCTCTGTGCCAAAAGCACACCATGGTCTTCTCCTCAGAGCCCAGTGATACTTGTTCATGATGTTCTTCATAAGGCCCTTAGCAGAGCTGAGAGCTTATCTTCTCTTGCCTTCTAGAGCATTTCTGGTGGATTGCAGTTAACACCTGATCACCCCATTCTATGAATACAACAAATAATTTCATTAAAGAGTGAGAAAATTCAAATTGGATATTTCTAACAGTTAATACTACACTCTTTTTGAAAGAACTGTTTTGCTTGGTTTTATTTGAACTTTACCTATTAGCAAATATGGCTGCACTGAGTTTACTGCAGATGTCCTGTTAGTGCTCTGCTGCTTTTTCCTGTTGGAGATGGTTTCTTGATAGTTACAACAGCTTGAAGAATGACCCTGGTATTTCAAGGATTTCCTTCCTTCAGTGTCCAGCTGTAGGAAGCTACTTTGATCTGCTCTGTAGTGGAGCTTTACCACTGGTATCCTAGACCAAGTGCTGCTGAATAGAAGAGCCTAGATTTCTAGCATGGCTTCTGCTTCCATTTTGTGACTGTGCAGTTACAGGGTAGGCCAAGCTGGATTTTCAGCCAGCAGTGTTTAATGATGTGCAAGTTTAACTCCTCCTGGAAGAAAGGCTGGATGACTTGCTATTATCCAACAGCAACTTGTCTAAGTAAGTCACATGAGGTACTCATTACCTAATTGTTAGGTACTTCAATCTAGTGCTTTTCAGTGTTGTGGAAGACTTGAGGTTGTGATGCTGGATAGCTCATACTTGTCATTATTTTAATTACAGGAGGTGATCTTGGGCCTCACAGATCGATGCCGTTTTTTTGTTAATGATACTGAGGTACAAAGCTTTCTCCCCTCATTTCATTTCCTTTTTTTTCTGCCAAAGGCAGCTTCTTTATTCTGGTTTAAACTTTGATAAACTTCATTTTTTTACAGGTTGCTTCTAACATTACATCATTCGCAACATTCAGTGAGTTTTTGTTGGTGACCACCAACTCACACACCTGTCAGTGCTTCTGCTTGAAGAACTTGTCAGTGAAGGGTAAATATCAGGACTGGCTGCCTGTTGCTAACTTGTAACATTTGTCTTGCTAATACGAGATGTCCCCATTTTTCACATCCAAGCTTCTTGTATTTGGGTACCTCAAAGGAAGTGTTAAAGAGCTGAGAGTAAGAGAGCTGCCTTCAGAAATCTACCAGAGAGCAAGGAGCTCAGGGAACTGACTGTATTTATCATGTGTTTTTCACAGATTAAAAGAAGAGAATTTTTGCTATAGTTGATCTGTACACTGTTTCCAACAGGCTAGCCCTGCATGCTCTTCCTTCCCTTCATATTCAAAAGAAGTCTGTGTGCTATTTGAGGGTGTGTGGTAGAGAGGGGATCACTGTAGAAAGAGTTTCTGCTGGTGTCTGGCTATGAGAAGTGTGATGACTTTGGTAAACACAGGGCAACAATTTACTGGTCCTTTTGCATCCTTCAGTGCTACTCTTATCTGGGCTGTTGAGCTTTGTCATCCTGTTGTGCAGAAGACACAGCTCTGCTTTGTGTACAGGTTCAGCAGTGATCAGCGCTGAGCAAGTCTTGTCAGTAATTGTTGAAGATCACTGTTGTACTGGTAGCTTGGTTGGTCCAGTACAACCTTGCCTGGCTCCTACAACATGGAAGGCCGTAAATGGAGCACTGTGCTGTGTGTGGCATGTATGCTGATTAATGTTGTCTTCAGCCCTCCAGGCTAGCCTGAGCAGTGCTGCTGCACCCAACAGTGAGACCCTGCGCAAGGTGGAGCGAGGTTCACGTATTGTCACCGTTGTTCCCCAGGACACAAAGGTGGTGCTGCAGGTCAGTGCTCTGCCTGTGTCTGCTGATGTGCTATCAGGATGTGTAGGGGCCTGTCACCATGGGCACCGGCCAACCTGCAAACAGTGTAGACAGTGCTACAAAGCTGGTAGTACTGCCTACAGTGTTGCAGCACAGCACTTCACAAATCTTCAGCTGCCTGGCTGGATGCAGAGGGATTTTGAGCATGCCTTTGGGAGTTAGGTTCAGTAGAGGCAGATAGGTATGTGCAGAACTGGGAAGGACCATTCAAGTTCCTAATGACTGAGGTAGTGTAGTGCTACATATTGTGGCCTCTCACCATAAATCACTTCCTAGTATTTACTAGCAGCCCTACATTAGCCTTGGCACTTAGTTTTTTGCTGAGCTCACTTGTCAGAACTGCCAGAGATTCACAGAATGGAGAAGGACATAATTTGAGAGGTACCTTTGGAGATGTGGAGCCCAACATCCTCCTCAGAGCAGGGCTAACGTGAAAACTTGATCAGGTTGCTCTGGGTCATGCCTGATTGGGTAGAGTCTAACCTCCTAAGGAAGAGGTATTTCTGGACTGAGAGAATGTTCAGGTATTTTTCCACAGTTGTTGAAATTGCATGTCCTCTGAAGTGAGCAACCAGGCCCATGCACTTGCAAGTAGCAGAAAGGCCAAAGAAATCGGCCAGTCCTCACTTTTCCTACAATGTAGGCAGAGTACCTAAAGTAAGTAGTTGTGTGGGTCTTGTGTTATAGATGCCAAGAGGAAATCTGGAGACCATTCACCACCGTGCTCTGGTTCTTGCCCAGATTCGGAAGTGGCTGGACAGGTAAGTAGTGCTGGTGTATTCTTGTCTTCCGTCTTCCAGTCTGAGCTGTTAGAGGCAGATTGACCTGGAAAAGAGAGGGAGGCTAAACTCAGTAAACTCAGAGGAATTGACCTTGTTAGAGGGAACAGAACTGTTTCTAGGGTGACCACCTTGAAGTCTAGCTTTCAGCTGTGTCAGGCACTTGTCACTTCACCATTGAAGGGATGAAAATTGTGTGGGTGGGAGAAATCTTCATCTGCTTCATTCTCCAGACATCTCAATCACTTTAGGATTAAGCTTTCTGTTTTACATTTTTTACTGAATTAATTTACATTGAAATTTTCTGAAAGGGAAATTGATACAAAATGTAACACTCTTTCAATGGAGATAAAAATCATCTTAAGTTCTGTATTGCTTCATCAACCTTGCAAGCTGGTGTGTCTCACTGCAAGGGTCAGCAATGAACAGTATTGACCTTGCACATTTTTCTGGAAGGCTGTCTACACAGCTGATTGTGTAGGCTGTTCTCATCCCACTGGTTCTGTGCTTAGCTCTAGTAAGTTGCCTTTGTTTGCATCTTATCCACTGAGTAAACGGTCCCACCTGATTCATTCCTTCAGACTTATGTTCAAGGAAGCTTTTCAGTGTATGAGGAAGCTGCGAATCAACCTCAATCTTCTCTATGACCACAATCCCAAGGCAAGTCTGCCCAGCTCTCATGTGTTGTTTGCCATACTAATCTAGCCTGGAATCCACTGAACAGTGCACTGTTCAGTGCACTCAGGGGTGTGGGTGGTGCTGTCATTTCTGCTTTCAGCAGTGATGGCTGTTCTGCACTGCAACATCATTGTACAGTCAGACCTGATTTAGCATTTCCTTCATCCTGTACTTTCAGACAAGGTCTCTGAATTTATTCTTATACTTGACATACATGTTCTTACTGTTCAATGGTAATACTCTTGTTCATTTCAGGTATTTCTGGAAAACACAGAAACCTTCATCAGGCAAATAGATTCTGTGAACTATATCAACTTGTTTTTCACAGAACTGAAGTAAGTATTAGTCTGCAAATGGGAGTATGCATGTAATCATGATGGTATGTTATTTTGTTAAAATATTGGCAACTCTTCAGTGTGGGTGCAAGGAATCAAAAATCTGGCATGTCAAGTCATAAAGGCTTGAGTTGGCTCAGTAGTTTCAGGATAGCATGTCTTGTTGGAAATTCCAGTTTGCAGGCAGCCATTAGATTTTTGTAGCAAGTAATTAGTACATTATCTGAGTGCTTTGACTTCTCTTCTGGTTTGCTGTAGAGCAGTAAATGAGAGCAGAGAAAATTTTGTTCCCTCATAAAGAGGAGCAAGGTGGCAGTGCATATCTAGTCTGAGGCCAAGATACTTGCTTGTATCCTCAAACCAAGTCCCCTGATTTCTTTCTTAAGGGCTTTACAGTGATAGTAGTTTCAGGACTTCTCAAGCTTTCTAAAGTCAATAATTGTGTAGGAACTGCTGCTATCACTTAGGTGTTTGGTTTGATTTTCAGTGTTGACCTGACCAGAAATGATAGCAAATGGCTTATTTTTCTGAATTTTTCAGTGGATATATCCATAGTTGATTTAGTGGAAGACAGCTATATCTTGCAAATCTAGTCTTCTGATTTTTTGGTGCTACTAAAGTAGTTGTTTGACCAGTTTTAGGGTCTTTTTTTTTTTAATGCTTGTCTTGGCTGACGATCAGTTTTGACAGAGATTTTTGGAGAGCTTCCTGTTAGCATGGCAGTTAATGAGTAGTTATTTTTTGCATGCATTTGAGTTCCTTAATTTCACTGTCTTTGTTCTGGGCTATGTGACGGACGGTGCTCTTATTCACATTACCTGTTTTTATGCAGAGAAGAAGATTTCACAAAGACTATGTACCCATCTCTGAATGGTAGCAGTAACAGCCAGCTACCCCAGCATCCTGATCAGAAAAAAGTAAACCTCATATGTGACGTGATGAGAGTTGCCATGGAGCACATTGACCCTCAAAAGTGAGCACTTTCTTACTGTAGTGAAGGAACCGTTAGAATTGTAGTAAGTCATTGGCAGGAAGCGAAGCTGTCCTTGACATCAGTTATTTGGCCCTAGGTTCTCTGAGGTGAGCTTGTGCTCCACAAAATTAACTTACCATGCCTTGCTATTGCTGAACATGCTGTCCTGGAAGCATCTGATAATTCCACAGATAGCATACCAACATTCTACTAGCAGAATTAAAATAATAGATGCAGGATGTTTATAAAGGTTTAGGAGATACACTCAATTTAGGATCAGTCTGTGTGGGAATGGAGACATGAGCAAGATTTTCATCTTGGTGAGTTGCTGACTGTTTGAAGCAGCTGGCCCTTTGGAAAGTTATCAGCTGTTCCATTTGACACTGAATTATTTTGTAAATTATCAGCTCAATTTTCCTGATTGATTACCTTTTTGGTAACCATCCTCTTCAGATGAATTAACACCAGACAAAGATAAAAGCTGGGAAAATATGATAATAAGAGTGCCTGGTGAAAGGTGGTAAACTATTGACAGTTTAATGTTAAACAGTAGAGAGGGGAGCAACAGGTGGTGAGTAGCTGCTGTGCCCTCAGAATTTAGACACTTTCCAGCAAACTATTTCAGAAAACAAAGCATTTGCTTGGCTGGGAAAGCTATTTTGAAATAATAAATTTGAGATGTATGGAAGTATAAATAACACCCTAGAAAGCTATCAATTTTTTTAAAAAGGCTATTTTTGTGCCAGATCTGGACAACCGTGTCCTGCTCTCTGAACTTTCTCAGAGAGAGTTGCTTCATCATGCTGGCTGGCATGGCAGAGGAAGCTTATTCTACTCAAAACACACCTCCAGCTTTGTGATATGCTAGGGAAGACAAGTTGAGTAGAAGAACTTTTCTGGTCTATTCTCTTCTTTTCCAATGTTTGCTGCCTTTCTCTAGGAGAATCAAAGTGCCTGAGCAGTTTCGTTTTAATTTTTTTACTAAAACATAAACTAGAACTTGCACAAACTATGCTAAAAAAGGAATATGCTGTGTTCATTCACTTCTCTTTTATTCAGATACTGCCTATCGATACTGACAGCACATGTGAAGAAAAGTCCTCCAGAGCTGGAAATTGCTCTCCAGAAGGTTCATGATCTTCGAGGTTTTGTATCAGAAACTCAGAAGTTTTGAAAATAGGTGGTTTGCAAGAGCTTTATGTTAAGGAAACTTCTCTGTCCAACCAAAACTGTTAAGGGGGAAACTTCCCCATCTGACCATCCAGGAGCCACACTGGTGGTGACATTTGCACCACCTGAGCTGGGATGACCCCCCACAGCTACATCCCCCATATTCACATTCAGACCAGGATTCCTTACCAGCTCCACCTCAGGTTTCCCATAGCTGACGCTCAGGAATCCTGATCCTTAATATAATTTAGTCTCAGTGACAAAATAGTAGCTCTAGCTGGTGCCTCTGAAGAGGGATCCTGAGCAAAGGAACCCCTGTCCTGTGACAACTTTTATACCTTTGCAGTCTATCCCTGCAAAAATCTGGTGGTCCTCAGCTTCTGCCATGTCTCAGTGTCTCACAGGTCTCTGTCTCCTTTGTTATGCAAGGGGTTGGCAGTTCAAACTGGAGGTCTCGCCACTGAAAGCTCAGCCTGCAGCTCCCAGTGCAGCTACACCCTGAGATACTGCGCTGGATGTGTTCCTTAACACTTTGGTCATTAGCACAGTTCACCGAGAAAATTATTTTAAGGTTGCCGTTTATGTAGCAAGCCAAAAACCAGAAGTGGACTTGAAATCTGCTGTGTGTTTAGGTACAGCAGCCTATCAGCTAAGATAGGCTGCTGTACTCACCCTCAACTTGCCCTTTTGACCAGGTCTGCTGGCAAATTCTCCAGAGCTGGACCTGTTTTCACTTTCCAGTTGGATCTCTAGTTCTCCGAGCATGGAATAGGAAGTTCCTATTCTGGCTTCTGGTATCCCAGACTAGCAAACTTTGCCTTTATTCTGTCCTGATCCTTCGAGTTCATCATGATTACACACTCACTGCTATGCTTCGGATGGTCCTTGAAGTTGCCCAGTAAAGGCAAAGTAACCCTTCTACAAGGCAGAGCAAGCTGTTAGTCTGATGGTCTGTCTCGATGTCAAGGTTGTGCTTGATGATGCATCCTTTCCTCACACCCGGGCTCCACTGCTGGTGATGTAACAGGTCATATGCTGCTTTATCTTGTTGCAGAAAGTATTACGCCCGATGTCCAAGGTGTGAGTGCAGAAGAAGCACTAAAGTACCTACTTTTCCTTGTGGATGTCAATGAATTGTATGATTATTCCTTGGGGACGTATGACTTCGATTTAGTCGTCATGGTGGCAGAAAAGTCTCAAAAGGTCTTGGCTTATAGTTTCAGCGAAGGAACTTATTTTTCTACTTTCTCAAAGGTTTTTTGTAATCTGCAGATAAGCCTGCATGTTTTCTTAGTAATGGCTCTACCCAGGCAAGATTCCAGTATTCAGAAGCCCTCTGTATGCTTGGGATGGTGCTTGTCATGTCTCTGCATCCTTTGGTTCTTCTTGAACACAGCTTTGGAAATTTATTTGTGTTCAAGATGAAATGGTGCTCTTCTAGAGCAGCAGGGCAAAGTAGCTCTGGGGAAGAGAGCTACCCAGAGTAGCTTTGGGTATCTGAAGTTTTGTGACTGCATGCCTTCCATTCTCAGTACTGTACTCTTTATTCTTGCTTGCTTAGTAGTTTCCGTGATAATAGCATGTGTCTTCATGTGGGTTTAATGTGAAATCTCTGAACTGAAATGCCCATCTGCATCTTCAGTTTCCTAATGTTACAGCAAATTCTGCTGCCCATCAGTTATAACACCCTATTTGTGTTAGCAGGTTTTATGACCCTTGGTGTGGGGAAGTTGATAACTTTATGGCTGCAAATTTATACATAATCATAGATAATAGAAAGCAACACTTAATATGACTCATAGGCTTGAATTTTAAATGTTAGCAGCTTTTAGATACTGCTGAAGTCCGTGTGGGAGCCTGGTAGTTCAAGTTAGTAATTTCTGGCAAGAGTATATGCACAAATTGATTCTTACATTTGGAGGAAAAAAGCCTTTTTTAGTGTATTATCATATTTTTTCAAATACGGGACTGTCTGTTGGTGAAGAAGGGGGCAAATAAGGATTTTAGCAGATTAGCTCAATTGCAGTTTTTATTGTTCTTTGCAGGACCCAAAAGAATACTTGCCCTTCCTAAATACCCTCCAAAAGATGGAAACCAATTATCAGAGATATACAATAGACAGACATTTGAAGAGATACGCAAAAGCTCTTGGCCACCTCAGCAAATGTGGTAGGTGTCCTAAGGAGGATTTCTGCAGTGTAACATTTCCATTTTGGAAAGCCTTTGAGGGAAAATAGCTAAAGAAAGAGAAGGATTGCACAAGACCAACTTCCCATCTGGTAATGTGTTGTGAACTACTGCTACTTGCTTTTTGTACTCTAGCTTGGTGCGGGAAGAAATGTTTACTCCTCTGTGGTCATAACGCACACGAAGTCTTGTGTTGTTCCTGCTCAAGTCAGTTTTGCCTGGTTAATATCTCTGGCAAAACCTCTAGAAAGTGAAGACTTTGGTTTTACAGTAGGAGAATGGGTGGGTCTTCCATCCAGGCACCTCTAGTTGCTTCTCCATGTTGTGAACCCAGACTGTCTGGGAGCCAGGAGGGCCATGTACTTCATTTTTAATATTTACAAAAAGTAAATTATTTCTGCAGGTCCTGAACACTTCTCTGAATTGCTGAACTTGGTGAAGGATCAGAATCTGTATTCTGAAGCCTTGAAGTTGTACCCCTCTAGCACTCAGGAGTACAAGGTGTGTAAGCTTGTGACAGTGCAGTGTCAAAGGTTTATATTCCCTTATGCATGTGTTTGGATCTCCAGGGCACCTTGCATGAGGGCAGGAATGAAACTGCAGCTGCATGTGTTCAAATTCTGTAGGTCGCTGCTCTTCCAGTGCTGAGACTCTCTCCTGAGATAACAGCTGGAGTGACTCCCAGCACTAACCCTGTGCGACTTGGTCTTCGATGGTTGTTATTCCTTTGATCCTTTGACTCAGGACCTGGAAGTGCTATTTCTTCTGCTGCACTATCTTAAAGTGTGCTGAATAATTTCCATAACCTCAGAAAACTTCTCCCTATTTTGGCCTCTGTGTAGCTTCCAGGTTGTGTGGGGACAATTTGTTAATCCTTATACTATCCGAAAAAAGTGCTGAAAAACCTGGACACTTTTAGATGTGCTTTTTCCTAGTGCATAGTCTCCCTTGTTGGTTTCAGTGTTACTGAAGAACTTCAACGTGTCCAAGGCTGAGATAAAATGTAAATGCATTTAATATAATCTAACGCAACACACAGGCCTTTGTACAAGGAAAAATTGAGTGAGAGGGGAAATAGAGAAAATTGGTCTATTTGCAGCACAGTGAAAGCAGAAAAGAATCTTTATTCATGAGGGAGGTCTGTTTCTGAATGAGTCCTTGGGAGTATTTTATTATTCCCCCTGTATCCTTCCAGTGAAATCCACTTGCCCCTTCTTCATGGAGATAGTGAGCTTTGAGTAACCTGTGCCTATAGAGTTATGCTATGTTCCCTTGTGCCAGTGTTTGTTTCCGAAAGTGGATTGGTTCAGGGAGACATTCTAACAAAAACTGCTTATGTGGGTGGGGAGGAAGGGTCTGGTTTCCTGCAGTATCTAGTTTACCCAGCATTTAGTTTGGAGAGTTAGGCGCCTCCCTGTGTCACTCACTGTAGCTCTGTAAAGTGTCTCTGTGTGCTGATCATCAGCCCTTGGCTTGATATAGTTTGAAATGAAGCATAAACTTCATGCCTGGAAATTCCTTAGAGAAGCTGGGTAAGAGGCTTTTGTTGATGGGCCCTTAATTTTTACTATTGGAGGACTGTTCCTGACTTTTATTTTTTTTCAATTTTTTTGTCCCTGTCTTTCAGGATATTAGTGAAGCATATGGGGAGTATTTGACTCAGAAGCAGCTGTATGAACAGGCTGCATTGATATTTGCTCGTGTTGGCATCTTTGCAAAAGCACTTGATGCTTTTCAGAGCAGTGGCAGCTGGCAACAAGCCCTGTGCATGGCATCACGGCTTGGTTACACAAAGGATAAGCTGTCCAGCCTGGCACGGAGCATGGCAGGTAGGCCTTGAAGAGATGTAAATGTGCAGAGCAGAGTGGCTGCTGGTACTTTTGGATCACTTCAATTTTTCCTAACATTTGATGAAAACTTCAGTATTCAGCAGCACTTTTCTTAAATGCAAACAAAGATCCCATGTTTCCCCAAGGTTTGCACATTTGCACATGACCTTTTTTTCTCAAAGGAGCCAAAAGATGCTGAAGCTGAATTGGCAGGCAATATAGGAGCTACCAAGCAAACTGTGCCCTTGGCTGCCCAGTGCTAACTGCTTCTTGCATTGTTCCCTTGCAGCTGGTTGCCAGACTGGTCTTCCAAATTGCCTCATTAGTTAATTACAAGGAATGGACATGCGCTGAAGCATCTGACATAACTGAGGCCTCTAGACATTAACTGATACAAGTGTTGTGCCTATTCACCAATGTTAAAGGCTGTTGGATAATTTGGAGCTGCATCTTTTTTTCTCCTTGAAGCCACCTAGCAGCTAGGACCAGCTGGTACATAAAGCTGTGTGTTGTCCTAAGGGGAAAAAGGTAGCTGGTCACAGAATATGTACTCACACAGGCACATGTCAGACATAAGGTGTGTTGTGGACCTGGTGTATATTTCATCAAGAGAAATTTTATCTATTTCAGCTAGAGAATCATTACTCAGAGGCAGAGTTTATGAAGGGCCATTTAATACAGAGGGAGTATGGCTTCTGGAAGCCTAGTTGTCCAGAGTTGGATACTCCAGTATTTGCTTTTTCTGTCACTTAATGTGATTTAAATTCTTCATGCCTTTAATGCTTTTTTTATGGTGCCTTTTTAAAATCACAGCTGTAATTTAGCAATTGAGCACATATGTGAGCAGATAGAAAGCGTCTCAGTGAGTGGGATTTTTCCTCTACTTTGTAGTTTTTTGGCACAAAATCCAGCTGTTTCTGAAAAGATGAAACTCCACTTTTTCTTGTAGGAAAACTAGTTGAACAGAGAAAGTATGCAGAGGCAGCCATTCTCCTGGAGCAGTACACTCAGGTAATGTCATCACCCTCCTGCCTGCGGCCCAGGGCTACCCAGTGTCTGTCAGTCCGTTACACCATCTGTTTTCTGTTCTCCTGCACCACATGTGATTCTATGCATGCTGACAGCAAAACAGTCTTTGCCATAGGCCCCCCTGGGGAGGGCAGGGCAGGCCTGAGTGATGCAGTGGGCACTGTGGGGATAAATGCTGTGTCCCTGAGTTTTTCCACTAGTGAAGCCTCCCATGCTTTGGTATGAAAAACATTTGTCTCAGAGAGCCAAAACATGAGGAAATAAGGAAGACAGAGTTCCAGAGGGATTTCCCCTTAGTTTCAGAGAAGTAACATAGTTTAGCTGAGTTGGTTTGTGTTTGCTTGTTTGGGTTTTTTTGTCAACACCTCAAAGTATCTGGCATAGTAGTGTTTTCGTCTCTTGACTGTGATAACTGCTGCATAGAAATACTCATCTGAATAGCTTCTATCTGAACATGTATTACTAACAGCAGCAGCAGCCCATGGTTGCTCTTTCCTTCTAGGACTATGAAGAGGCTGTTCTCCTGCTCTTAGAAGGGGCTTTTTGGGAAGAGGCTTTGAGACTGGTAAGACATTTCAAACCACAAGAACAGAAGTGGAAATACATCTTTAGAGTTCAAAAACAGAGCCATGTGGTGTGGGTTAGATCCTTGAATGATACTTTCTCTTTCCCTGATCCAGATTCACAAGTATGGTAGGCTGGATATCTTGGAAACCAGCTTGAAACCTGCTATTTTGGAAGGTGAGTCTGTGTAAGAATCTAAGATTTCTCTGTGCTATAGAGGCTAAAGATCTTTGCTGTGTCTGTGGGAAGTCACAGCATTTCGGAAGGTGTATGGAAGGATACTTTGCTTCCACTTAATTTATGCTGCTCAGTTAGCTGCACTTGGCTGTCCTCAGTGCATCTTGTAGCCCTGCAGTGTCATGGGATCTTTTTAGCTTAGTCAGGTGCCTTTGGAGCTTTTCCAGACCTCCCAGTCAAAAGCTGCAAAGAGATCTATATCTCTGTGTCCATGAACAAGCAGAACTGTCCTTGTTCCAAAGCACATGTAGCAGTAACACTATGGACCAGAAAAATGGCTATCTGTCCTGTAAGCTTTGATGAGTAGTTTTTGGAAATAAAAAATTATTTGATAGCTTTAGTCTCCCTTCCGCACAGGAAGAATACTTTATGGCTTGTTCTTCCTTTTCATGCTTTATGAGTTGAAGGATTTTTTCTGAGCTTGGTGAAGTCTGTGCTTGTGTAAAAAATGCTTTTCTGTTTCTCTTGCACAAATGTTTATGTTTTGATTTTCTTAATGATCAGCTCAGAAAAGTCAGCTGATCTTCCTAGATTCCCAGAAAACAGCATTTCTTCGCCATAAGAGTCGCCTGCAAGTAGTGCGAGAGCTGAAGGAGAAGGCTTGTGAGAACCTGCAGGGTTGGTATTGAAGTGCATATGACTTTCTCCTGCATGAGTAACTGTGATAATTTTTTTGTTTGCGGTTGCTCTGATGGAGCTGTGCTCTCCATTAGCTCCAATGGGATCTACAGTAGTAAAACAGCATCCTTCTCAACCCCTCTCACTCCATACTTGGGAGTGCGGTTACTCTTGTATTTTTGGCTTTTCCTTGGGTCACAGCTTTCACGCAATGAAAATACACCTGAAAGCTCTTCAAAATGACACAGCATTGTCTCCACAGTACCAGCTTGGCTGGGTGAGACAGTGCTCAGCATGTCCTTCGTGCCAAGTACCTATAGGCATATTCACATATTCACCTGCCAGTTGACACAGGCTCAGGGGATTTCTCTGAAAGCAGAATTCTGTGTCCTAGTCCAGATCTGCTGCACTGAGATTGTCATCTGTCTGATTGTGTTGTTCAATATCACCATCCCCAACAGGGCGAAGGAGCAGTGCTGTTCTCACAATTACTGTTTCCTCCTATTTGCTGGCTCAGTGGGGTTGGGAGCCATAAGGCTCCCGAACACCATCAGGTAGAATGACTGCCCAGCAAGCTGCACAGATCAGTCAGAAAGCTTGAAATAATTCTGACCTTTCTCCATACTTTGACAGTTGTTAACATGTTTTGCAGATTATGAAGTACCAAATTGCCCAGAATCGGAGCTTTTCTCTGAAACCAGCAGTGTTGTGACAGCCAGTGACATGAACAGCAAATACACACACAGCAATTCAAGAATATCAGCGTAAGTATCTACCTTCAAATCAGGTAGTAACTGTTCCGGCATCAGCATTCAGGAGGTTAGCTTGCTCATGCTTGGTATGCTCCTCCTTGCAGCTGTGTGTACCTTGTAGCTGCTTTAATTACAGCCATTTCATGCTTATTTTAACTCTCATTGGAAGGGAAGGAGCAGAAAAAGGCAAAAACTACTAGTGCAACAGGAACAGCAGAGGAGCTGATAACACAGACTCTGGGTGGCTCCCACGGATGTTGGGCATGTGGCCAGAATGGCTGGCTTATAGAAAGTTAGACACAGAATATGGGCAGAGCCTCTCTAACATAAACATCTTGTGCATGTCTTGTGTTCTTTGGCCCAGATTTCATGCTTGGTGCATGGAACTTGCTACTAAATCTCATACCAATGTCTTCCCACAGTGGTTGTGTACATTGTTTTTGAGTACCTCTCAAGAGTATGAGCTGCAGTGTGGGGTGGAGTGTATAACAGGCTGGTGTAGTCTGTGGATCGCTTCTGAATTCCCTGGCTGAATCGTGGAAGAATACAGTTGTGGGGAAAATGTGGACTTTTTAGACCACATGTGGTCTCCTGTGGACCAGATGTAAACAGAAGGAGAATGCAGCCTTAGAGTGAATTCAGCATCAGAGTGTGTGGATCACTTGGGAACATTATGCAAGTAGGTCTGGTCTGTGAAAGAAGTTGCTTTCCTGTGATTGCTTAGGAGCTGAGCAGGCTCTGGAGATGGTAGAAATTAAAATGTTCACAGCCAAGCACAGACCCTGGCCACCAGTGTTTTAAGTGGACTTCAGCTTTGCCTGATAGTGACCACTGTTTTGTTCTTGGAGCAGCTCCTGCTTTGTGTAGAGATGCTTTAACCTTCTTTGCTCCTTTTTGGAGCAGAGAAACAGCCTAACTCCTGTCCTGTGTTTCAGACCACTAAGGATATTGGTTGAATAGCACTGAAAATACTGTCAGAGCACCTAAGGTTACATGCAGTCCTCTGTCACTGGAGAAGGCAAGGACTTGAGTGACAAGTTTCATGCACACTGTTGATGTTCCTTCAGACTTAACCCTGCTAACAGCTAATGCTGTTGTGCACACTGTAACTGAACGTGCTCTTTTCAGGCGATCCTCAAAGAACCGACGCAAGGCGGAGCGTAAGCGATACAGCCTGAAGGAGGGGAGTCCTTTTGAGGATATTGCCCTTCTGGAAGTCCTGGGAGAGAGTGTTCGCGCTGTTGAGACTGTGAAAGGTAGGACAATTGGTGATCTTAATCCATGCTGCAGCTTATGAGGATGAGGACAGCTAAGGTAGTGTGCCCCTTCTTGTTCTTACTGTGTATGCTGTAGAGAAAGGCTGCCTGGTCCATACTGTGTTGGACCTTGGTTTAGTTAATCTGCCTCTGTGCTCAGAATAACATTAACTCTCTGCATTTGAAGTTGGGAGCAGAGAAAAGAGGCCTTCTCAGTGCCACTACAGATTTGCCTTCTTTTTGTTCTCAGACACTGTAGGGGCTCAGTAGGAACAGAACCAATTCTGAGCTGCTGCTCTCTTTCCTGTGTCCTGATAGCAAAAAAATGCAGCTGTTTACTTAGTATACCTGTATTGATTGCTATTTTATTGCTTCTGTTCCCTCCTGCAGGAGAGATACACATCCTTCTGAAGCAGCTTGTGCTCTTTGGTTATGATGAGCAAGCTGGGGCACTGCAGCAAGTCCTGGAAGAGGTTTTGCAGTTGATGGTGGCCTCAGTCCCAGAAATCTGGACTCCAGACCTGCAGCAGAGCTCTGTCAGCCTGGTCTGTGCTCGTCCACAATACCTATCACTCTCACTAGACAGTATCAAGTGTTTAGCAGTATTTTGCATTCTCTGGCAGAGAGCCTAGAGTCATTCCACGGTTTTCAAAATCTGGCAGTTTTTTTCCGTTAGAGGTTGAGTAGATATTCTGGGCAGGACCTGCTGAGTCAGTCCACTCTAGATGGGTACAACATGTATAGGCTACTCTGTCCCCTGCACTGAATGCCACATTGGATGTGATGACGTCTTCTGAGGCTTTTGTTGCCTTGTCGTAGTGGTGATTTGTTTTTGTAAGTTCCATCTTAAGCAATTGGTAGAATATGGGAACACTCTTTTCTAGGCCTAATGTAGAGTAGAGTAGGTCTTGTGAAGTGAAAAGCTACTGGAGTGGTCAATTAAGTCAGAACTATATATCATAAGGAGTAAATTACATAAAGAAGGGTTATGTCAGGCTTCTAAGCTTCAGCTTGATGCAGAATAAGGAAATCACAAGGACTTTAGTTAGTTCCCTTCCAGAGTAAAAAAGTCTTTATTTCTAATAAGTGGTTTCTGAGCATTTATGGTGAACACAAAATGTTCCCCAGTATCTTCCCCCTAACCGCTGATTAGCAGGGCTCTTAAAGACAGATTAAAATGTTCTGTGTGACAGAGAACAGAGACTCACAGATGAACTTTAAATATTGATGGTGCTGTAATGAAGTCAGTCCTGCTGAATCATGACATTTATGGTGCTGTGAAGAAATAGGTGCTGGATAAGAGTTCTGTGTCATGAAAAGCTGTGTGTGAAAGCAGTTATCTCTTTCTGCCTCTGTGTTAACTTTTCTGAGACATTATTGGGCTTTGATCACACTGTTCACCCTTTGATCCTGTTCACTTTGTACTGTGAGGTGTCCTGGTTTTGGACAATCATAGCAGTTTCCTTTAAAGGTATCCCTAGTTGTGCCTTGCGTTGTTCAGATTTGAACATGGCTATTTCTTCTTACAGGTATTGGGACCCAATTCAACTGCAAACAGCATTATGACTGCTTATCAGCAAAAGAGGATGATGCGTTCTGTTGTACAAGGTTAGTTGACGGTCTGAGTTAAGTTTGGGTGTGAAATGTCAGGGAGGTTCATGGGCTTGGAGGCTTTCAAGCACTGCTACCTGCCAACAGTTGTACCAGTTACTCAGCTGTGGTGGTTCCTTGCTTTTCTTTATGGTGTACCATCCTGCCTTGTGGCAAGTGAGCAGCTTTCTTAACAAAGTTTATTTTGCTCTGAATTTGTGTTCTAAAACTGCTTCAGCTTAAAACTGTCTCCTGTACTAAAATACCGCAACTGCTCTGGGTTCCTGTGTGTGTGATGTCAGTCTTTTGTGAGGGAATTGAAAATCTGATTTCTTAAGGAATGTGTTAGATAGTTCTTCATATAACTTAACCTGCTGAATTTTTTCTCTCTGGCTTTGGCAGTCAGGCCAGGCCCTTGATCAGACCAGGCTACAGTCTGTCATGTGACTTTGCCATCTCCAAGTCCTTGCAGTGAATACAGAATTAGAGCTGAGAAACCTAGCAAAGGGTGGTCTCAACTCCTCAGTGTTCCCTCTTTCCCCTAGTTCTAGGAGGACTCTTTCCCTGCTAGTCCTGAAATTGCCTGGGGAGATCCTCTATTGAATCTGTAGATGCAACCTGTCTATTCCCACTTGCCAGGGGCGGCTTCAGAAAAAGCCTGTCTCTTTACTCACTGCAGAAGGAGCCAGCTCACTGTGGTGCATGATGAGCCAGTGACAGGTGAATGAATGGAGTTCTGCTTTATGTCTGTAATAGTTGTGGTTTTGTGCCTATGCCTCCTCGTTCTGAACAGTAACACTTAACAATTGAGAGGGGACTGGGTGTGCCCGGACATTTCCCGGTGAAAGGAGATCTTCTGAGGACACTGTCCTGTGCAGGCTGGTGATCAGTCACTACAGGGAAATGATAGATGTCAAGAGATTTTTCAGCATCCTTTGATGTAAGAAAAGCGAAGAAAGTACTTGACAGCTCTTCAAGAAACTCTGTTGCTGTTCCCCACTGTTCCATTTGTCTTTCAGATCCAGAAGTACTGACTCCACCAAAATTCAATAAAAATCTACAGTGGAAGCTGCATCTTCTCCAGTAACCAGAAGCCAAGGAATCCCTGTGGACTCAGAGCTCAAACTTTTCACATAATTTCATTATATCTTTGCGGAAGCTTTTGCTGTTCTGATGTTTCTGATACACTATTCTTAGGGCTGTGCAAGTGACGGATCCCTCCACCTGGCACAGCTGTGACTGTGACCCACATGGTGTCACACTTACAGGCACAACCACTCATGTCCACTGCAGAGGTGGCTTGTGAGGCTGGGGAGCAAAAGGATGTGCAGCTCTGAGTGCTCCTACTTACTGTTCCCTGCTTCTGGACTAGAAAAAACCCACTAGTATTGGGTTTTTTCTGCCATCCCTGCCTCCCAGAGTTGATACCTTCCATGATGACAGGCCACATTTTAAGCACTTCGGCCTGCTTTAGAGAACTTACCTGTAAGAGTGTACCAATACCAAATTGCTGTAGTTGCTAAACAAATTTTGTGTTTTCTCTGCTGAAGCTGGGTGTTGCTGATACCAGATTTTCATCATTGCTTTGCTACATAAGAGCGAATCCTGCAGTGCCAACAGCCATTGTTGTATTGAAACTGGGCCTGTTCACACCAGGGAGGTCTTGGACAGAGGAAAACACGAATAAAAACAGGGCGGAGGTGTTGGTGTCCCACTCTGCTGGGCAATACTACCCTAATTATCTGAGATCAAAGAAGATAGAGTAATGGTGCTTTATGGCATTGACTGATCGGCAGCTGTATCCTGATAATGCTGTGCACTATTGCAGAACTATGTCATCTGTCAGCTGTATCCTGATAATGCTGTGCACTATTGCAGAACTATGTCATCTGGAAACTAGTCTTGTACTGAGAATTAGGTTATACTTCTGTCATCTGATTCAAGAAGTAACAGCAGTAGTTCTGGGAGCAGAGGAAGGAGACAAGGCTGGAAACCCTCTCAGTGGTAGCATCCCCTTGGTTAATTTTGGCCTGGCAGCTGCAGTGTTCAGGCCATTTCCATTGGGTTCTGTAGAAGAACACCATACAGACAAGGTGCTTACTGTCTGTTGGAGCAGTGAGCTGTGTTCTGACTGCACAGCATGAGCATGTGCAGTGCTGCAGGTGGCAAGAACTCCCATCAGATTGAGGTGGCCATTAGGTCTTGCACCATATGTGCTGTGCTGGCATGGGCTTGCTGGAGGGGAGTGGTAAGTCTTCTGTCAGTGTGAAACATTGGAGCACATCTTGTTTCCAGTTGTTCCGAATTGTATGGCCTGTTCTGGGTTGTGTGGGGATGACATAAGCCTGCTGTCAAATACTATGACTAAACTGCAAAGAGATTCTCCAAGAGTAAAGCCCTTCCAGATGGCAAAACACATTAAAGTCTTTATGGAGCAAGGCTGTTTCGTGGATCTGGATATTCAGAATGGTAGCAGAGCATAGTCCATGGTGAAATACAGAAGTCATCTACCAGATCTGGAGAAAGGTTTGCTGAGGGAGCAGTGCTCTTCTGCAGAGCATTCTGGCCCTGCAACTGAAATGTGATACTGACACCAGTAATTCCTGACATTCCTAAATCTGATGCCAGGAAATGCTGAGGTCTTGCACAACTGAATCTATTGTCTAGAAAGAGCACAAGAAATAATGAAATTGCCACTGGCTTACTGAGGATGCATGCTTGTGCCTAAGTATATGTATAATTTCTTTTGCTCTTCTATCATGGTGACTGTGAAAGCCAAAGACCCTTTTGTGTTAGGTGTGCTTTCTTGTTCTCCCACCAAGGCAAAACCCCTTTAAATTTGCCATCCAAGTGAAAGACCAGTCTTCTACATCATTCATCACTGAATTCTCACTGTCTTCCCTTACACCTTTCTCTCCTAAGTGAACATGGAGTAAGTTGCAGTAGAGCTGGGAGCAGCACCTAGTGTGAGTGAGTTTCAAGGGGGGATATCCTGCTTCTTACTACTATTGCAGTTGCTGAACCTTAATTTTATCTCAACAGCAGCACTGAGCCAGCTTTCCCTTGATTTCTGTTGCAATGTTCTTTTGCTTTCTTAGTGATGTGTGTAATCTTGAAATATGCTCAGCTTTAATTACTGTCATTACAGACACATTGAATTTGCTCTTAAGAATTCTGTGGGGGCTCCTACAGTTACCAGAAATGGAAGTAAACTATTAATGCAGAAATACGGAGTTAACTTTAAAAATGTCTCAACCTCTGAGCAAATATGGCTGTATGGAAGCCTGTTTCTCTTGTTAGATATTTCTCACCTGTCTGCTGATTAGCTTCATTAAACACAAAAGTAAAATAAATCCATCAAGTTCAGTAGAAACTTTCAAGAAGAGATCCACAAAGAGTGTGCTTCATTGAAGCAATAGATTATAGTTCTTGTTAGATTACCAGTGATAAATGCACCTGCAAAATACAAGTGTATGATGCTTTGTAGAAATGTTCCCAGGTATACTCCAATGGTGTCACAGTCACAGATCTTTCCAAAGAGGCATCCATGCTCTGGAGAAGAGACAAGTAAGACCCTTGACTTGTCTGCAAGGTTATGTTCTCATCCTCTGCCTTGGAGGCTTTCAAATAATAAATTTATTCCTTTTGGGAGAAACAGAGATGAAACTGTAGTTTTATATTCTGTAACTGCAACTCTTAATACTCATTTACAAAGGAAGTTCTCTCCCCCTCCTCTCCATTTACAATTGCAAAGAGAACAAAGGCAGTTCATAAGGGTAAAATAGGACTCTTGCACCATTGTCACCTGATAACCTGACACCTGACCAGCCCATGTTAATCCCTTCACCAGGTGAATCTTGTGGCACATCTCATGGAAAGTCCTCTACCACATCTTCCTTGGCTTTAGGCCTCATAGAAGATAATACAGCTCTAGAGATATAATTACAGCCAGGGGTGGAAAGGAGATGCTTTATCATCACTGGCTGATGAGTGTTATGCTGCTATTCTGAGGCTCTCTTGGAACAAAGATGTCATAGTGGTTGCTCGCAGTCTCCTGTATGGACTTACCAGCTGTAGAGGAAAGATTGAAGGAAGGCTGTGGGTCCCCTGCAAAGCCACACATGAAATAACTTGTCACAAAATCTATGTTCGCTGCCTTAGTTTCCTTCGTGGCCTTGAGGCTACCCTTATAGGTGGCTCCCCTTGGTTGGCTTCAGAGAGCTTGTGCCCACTGTTGCCATTCCTGTGGACCTTTCCCATACAGTGATGACCTCACACAGTGAGTGTTGGACATGCTGCCATCTCTCTTCCTGGGGTCAATCCTGGTGACAGTGGTTCTCCTGGTGATGCCGCTGAAAACATCATACATAGTCTTGTCCCTCTGAATTATGCTCTGCATTTGAGTGTGTGGCAACTGTAACTCAGCCGCACGCTGTCCCCAGATAGATGGATTGCAGGGATTTATGCTTCACTCTGACCTGCTCTGAGATGTACTAAAACCATACCTCCCACCCAGATGTGATGGGCCACGGGCCATATGCAGCACATTTCTCTGTGAAGAAGCATGTCTTCTCTTTCTGGCCTGTGTCTGCTATGAGGAAGACCACAGCTCTCTAGCATTTGGAACTGACTTTGGTTCAAATTAGTTCCCATTGCAAAGCATTAGCACTTTACCTCTGGAGCCAGCTGAAGCCCAATTTGTGTCAAGACTGAATTCACAGGCTGGTTGTGCTTTTGTCATTGTTCCTTACTCTCTTAAGTTTTATTTTGTAATTTAAGGCATATTATTACTGATGTCAGCAATAGCTGAACTGTGACTGGTGTTTTAAATTAGGCCATGGCCAACCTTTCACCTTACTGTATGCCATTCTGGTAAAAGATGAATGGTTTAAGAAAAGATTTTGCACAGAGTTATAGGACAACAATAAATACTTTAAAGACCCAGAACAGTGGGAAATGGCAAGGTTTTGCAGAATAGTTTTGAAACAAGTAGAGAACACAAACAGAAATCTTACATAAGATACTGGACACTGCATTTGGCAACATTCTAAATGTTTTACTGAAATTAATTAAATCAGCTAAAAAAAACATCCTTTAGATGAACTTAGCTCATGTGAAAGCCGTATCTCTAAAGCTTAGATTACCCACCTCCAAATGGAGAATCCTACCTACTGAACACGCACAATAAACTCAAAACATATTGTACCTTTAAGTTGAAGCAAGCAAAAGATTGTCCAATAGTTACTGAGTAGGCAGTTATTTAGACATCAGGTAAGTGCAGACTTGGATATTTTGAAAATATTTTAGCTATACTGCTTAGCTAGAACTGGGTGTGCTAGCTCTGTGGATTCACCACCCAGCACCCATCTCTGCATAAGCATGTAATAAACATGATCCTCTGTGGATCAGCTTCTTGCATACCAGGTAGGTTGAAAGAACATATTTTTAAGGACAACCTTACAACAGCAACATCTTTATTCTTTTCCAACAACATCAACTTCTTATTTGCCCCATTTGAGTGGGTACAGCAACATACTGCTGCAGGGGGAAACAGAAGAAGAGGACACCCTCTCCCTACAGAATGTGTTACTGTTAGGAGCAGCATTTTGCTTGCATAGCAAAAGCTCTGTGCACTCTTACTGAAAGCCATTTCACCCAGAGAGTGTCTTACTTAACTCAAAGCTGAGCTTAAGTTGAAAGATGAACTGTACAAACCAGATCCAGACTGAAGAGATTTTTATTAGTACCGTTCTGCTGCTTCTGGAAGTTCACATCTTGACAACAATCAAATTATTAGAGGCTCACTAAAATCCTGATTGGAGAAATAGCGTGGGATTAAACCAAAGAATTTCTGTACCAACTTCAACATATGCAGACAAGCAACTGCAAACCTTGATAGTTTTATTACTCTGGGAAGCAGTAAAGCTTGTAATTGTGTATTAAAAATATATTTCACAAAAAATGTTTAAATACATCCTTGTACCCAAAAGAGATTTTTGCTCCACTTAGAGCCTGTCCCTTAGCAGAGGGGCACTTCAGCAGCACTGAACTGTCAAGCCTTTCAGTGGCACAGCAAAGTAGGGGTGATGAGCTGCTGCTCCTTCCTCTGCACTGACAGTACATTCTGTCAGCCACACCAGTGTCTGCAACATTAACACGAAGGTGGAACTTCAGTGGTAGGCAGAAAACATCAAGAGAAGGACCTCCAAATCATTGTTTCTTTCCTTTTTCAGTAGAAACCTACATCAGGGCTCAGTTCAGCTTCTTAATTAAAATAAGTCCTTTCAACCAAACAAAGCACTTCTCCCAGACTTCAGTTCACTTACAGATTAGTGTGGCTGTACCACAACAAAACTGCAACCAAAAAGCTTCCATTTCAGAATTCACTTTATTTATATTTTTAGTAGGAAAGAAGAAGAGGGCTTAGGTTTTTGTTGAAGCTATTACTAAATTAGTATGCTGCTGTTTCCAGGCCACTTTTTTCCCCACATTACATTTGTCATTCTAGTTAATAAACATACATTTCCATAAACATTTTGTGGTCTTTGTGTTGTCTTGAAATCAGAAGACAGATTGAAAGATGATTTTTTGCAAAATCATTTTGGCCAATGTTTCTGAAGGTGTTCCTTTAACTGTGGGATTGTGGACAACTGTTGTTTACAGCAATGGCATCTGAGGGGAAGTTTGAGAAGTTCAGAGGTATGGTCTTTCACCATCACTTTTCCCTTGCTTCTTACCATCTCTATGACATCTGGGAATAAAAATAAAAAAGACCATAGGTATTGAGACCACGTAGCATCATGAAACACATGACACTGCAATCTCGGTGCATTCTTTTGCATGCACATGTCATTGCTACATTCTAATTTAAACTAGCCACAAAATGTGTTGGCTTTTACTCAGTGCTACTCTCCAGTATCTTAAATTAAATAAAACCTTTCACTAACTGCAATAAAATGTATGACTTGCACATTTGTTTGGAAGAAAAGCCCGAAACAGAACCTGCAAGCAAGATTATATGTTACGAAATACTTTCTCTAATAATTACCTTGAGAGTTTAAGAAGTAGTCTGTAGTAAAAGAATTCCAGTGCTTTTTGGTTTTCAGGGCCGGAGAATCAAAATCCTGGCTGATTACATGCAAATGTAGCTGACTGAAAAAAATAGAATGTAGATATGAGAAAAGAAGGTCAAAGATGTTTTGCAGTTTTATCAGTTGCAAACATGATTCAGCAGGGTGCCAGCCTTGTGGGTCAGTCCTGACCCTGTAACAAGAAACAAAGAGTCTGTTCTGGAAGCACTGTCTCTTGTCAAGCATTTCACTTATAAACAGTCAGGGTCACTAGTCCACATATTCCATTGGTCCCTCACTGCAGTCTATATTCCTGCTAGTTTCCAAAAAGGCAGAGACAGTACTGTTAGCAAACCACGGGTATATTAAAGGTTTAATAATTTATTATTTGTAGAGTAAGTGAATGGGACTTGATCAGTGCTCAAAAGCTTCATTCAAGAACTGGAGAACAACTGACTGCAGTATCAACAGACATTTGGACACACTAAGGTGTGGACTTGGACACAAGACTCAAATCCTTGCTCAGTATTAGGAGGACTTGACAGGTCTACAAGTCAGTCTCTAATCTCATGCTGGTGGCCTGGGAACGGGGATGCCCTAGCAATGGCAGCAATGCTCCTGTCACTCAGTGCCTGGGGCTAGACCACAGGCATCCCATAGCCCCAGGCACCAACCTCTGCTAGAGAAGGCATTTCCCCCCATGCCCAGGATGGCCATGCATCAGGATCTATACAGTAGTGTGGGGAAAAGGACTGCACACCAAGCTGTCTGTAGTGTTGAGGAGGATTTCTGGTTCTTTAGCAATGCCAAATCTCCTCATGGATTTAGCCCCAAATCTGTGTAACTGGAAGAACAGCATGTCCACCACCATGACTCCTCTAGGTCTTACCTCATGCTGGGGATAGCATGGTAACCCAGTCTGAATTCCAGGCTGTCTCTGGCAGGGCACTGTTCAATCATTTTTTGCCCAATGGCATGCATATGTTCCAGGAGTTCAAGGTGGTCCCTGGTGACTGACTTCAGGCTTGAAATAGGGTCCCATGGTAAGACAAGCCAGTGGTAACGCGCTTTGGGAAATTTATCCTTAATGACTACAGTCTTTTCATCTTTGTAAACCTTGCAAAAAATGAAATAACTAGATTACTTTCTGATTAAATAACTAGATTACTTTCTGATTGAAAGTTAAATATATTATTCCTATAAGTATGGAGAGATGCTATCCAATGAAAACTTTTGCTGGAATTCAGCTGCTCCAGGATAAGTATGGAGAGATGCTATCCAATGAAAATTTTGCTGGAATTCAGCTGCTCCAGGATAAGTACCCTCTTCCATAACATATACTAGGCACCTATGGAGAGGTGTTCCAGCATCCTTTTTCATATACTTTATTATAAAAGGCAAAAGCTTTCTAATCTTACTTTACAGTAAGTTAACTGTAACTACAGGGGTATATGAACTCTTGAAAATCACCTGGACTGAGATAGCAGTGAGGCCTAGGGAACGCCACTTCCATCAGGCAATGTTCAAGCTCTGTAGTCATAAACAAAACCAGTGTGCTAAATACAGAGTATGTCAGAATGCACTAGGTTGCAGATTTCCAGAGTGAAGCACCCATCTCAGATGTGCTACCAGCAGTGTGCTGTGGATGTCCACCAGCATTACAAAGATAAAAATATTCAAGTCACTATTTCAGTTCGTCCTACCCAGTGTGCTGCTTTGTAAGATCACTGACAAGGAGAACAGATTCCTGTCTATATGTCCTTCTTCCTGTTTTCATTTTGTTTTGCCTTCTACAACAATTCAGTGCAGCTGAGGAAGAGAAATGGTTGGGAAGCTTGTGGACAACAGTGGGGAGAATCCAGCAATAAAAAGCCATCAGGCTGTGTATTGTGTCTCTGGTCTCTTAGCAGTGCACTGGCTGATAAGAGATGGATGATGTCACCTTTGCTAATTATTCTTGTATGTTTATATACAGATCAGTCTTACTCTACAAGAAAGAAGATCTATGAGTACACAAATCACAGGACTGACTCCTTCAGCAGCAAGATATACATGCATACTAATGTCTGCTCCTGCTGCCAGTAGGAATAGGATCATGTTCAAGCCTTTTCAGAAAAAAGAAATATTGCCATTTAATATTTGATTAAAAAGAAAAAATATGAGTTCTATTGTTTGTGTAATCAGATTGAAACTACAACTAATAAACAAACAGTTATTTGTGTCTAACATTAAAAGAACAGTTTTAAAACCTGCTTATATTTTGGGTCAAGAAACCCCTGTTTTGGATAAGTCTATAGCATTCTGCTTCAGGGATAAAAATTAAGCTTCATATTTAAGAAGTATGGAAGAATTTCCATGGTTTTATCATCCCCTAGAGATAGACTCATTTGAAAGTGCTGGCAATTATAGGACAACGGGCATGCAGTTCTCCTGTAAATCTACGCAGTTCAACATTTCATGCTTGTATTAAAAAAAAATCAATCAAGAAATAGGAGCTTCTGTTTAGTTATCAGCTAAGCGAGGAACTGGTTCACAGGTCGGGCACAAAGGGTTACAGTGAATGGGTTGACCTCAGACTGGTGACCTGTCACTGGTGGGGTTCCACAGGGCTCCATCCTCAGCCCTGTGCTCTTCAAAATTTTAATAAATGACCTGGACACAGGACTGGAAGGAACAGAAAGCAAATTTGTCAATGACACTAAATTAGGAGGAACTGCCAACTCCCTTGAAGGCAGGAAGGCCCTGCAGAAAAACCTGAACAAATTAGAGGGCTGGGCAGAAGTTTAACAAGTTCAAGTGCTCAATTCTGCACCCTGGACAGGGCAACCCTGGACATGCAGAGAGACTGGGGAGCAAAAGACTGGAGAGCAGTTCCATGGAATGGGACCTGGGGGTCCCGGTCAGTGGCAAGCTGAACATGACCCAGCAGTGCCCTGGCATCCAGGAGGGCCACGTGTGTCCTGGGGTGCATCAGGCACAGCATCACAGCCAGGCAAGGGAGGGAATTGTCCTGCTCTGCTCTGCTCTGCCCTGGGGCAGCCTCAGCTTGAGAGCTTGAGTGCTGGGGACAGTTTTGGGTGACACAATAGAAGACTTAAAGTTCTTAGAAAATGTCCAAAGAAGGGCTAAGAAGATGGTCAAGGGCCTTGAAAGGAAGCCATATGAGGAGTGGCTGAGGTACTTGGTCTGTTCAGCCTGGAGGAGACTGAGGGGAGAACTCACTGCAGCTACAACTTCCTTGTGAGGAGAAGAGCGGCAGGCTGATCTCTTCTCTCTGGTGACCTGTGACAGAACTTGAGGAAATGGCCTGAAGCTGAGTCAGGGGAGGTTTAGGCCGGATATCAGGGAAAGGTTCTTCACCCAGAGGGTATTTGGGCACTGGAACATGCTCCCTAGGGAAGTCCTCATGGCACCAGGTCTGTCCAAGTTCAAGAAGCGTTTTCAGGTACATGGTGTGATTTCTGGTGATTTCCTGTGAGGGCTGAGAGCTGGATTCAATGATCCTGATGGGTCCCTTCCAACTCAACACACACTATTGTGGATGACAGCCTGGTCAGGGAGAGAGAAATGGCAGTCGTTTCTCACAGTGGCTTGTGAGAATTTTTAGGGAGTTGTAGGAATGTGATAACTTGTTAGTATAAACAATCTGCAGGTGGTGTTTTTCCACTTTGTTTTTCTGTTCCTCTCAAGGACGGTGTGTGAGAAAGATGTTTTCATTAACTAGCCAATCAAGCAGAATGTACCGTATCAGTCTATATAAACCAGAGAATCTTTGTATTAAAGCTTCTTTTTCTCCTCTTGCAATTTGGTCTCTCATCTGTTCTTGTGTCACTCTTAATTATCTTCAGCCTAATGGGGATCATCACCTGAAGGGGCCCAGTGAGGCCAGGGGTCAGAACCTGTCAGCTGACATAAAAGTGTAAAGTTAAGAATTTGCTGGAAACCAGGAAACTGAACTAAGAAATAAGACAGCACTGACTGCTGCAGAATGGGAACCTCTGTGGCTTGCTCAGCTTCAAACGATACCTCCACTTCAGTTGGTTTCCCTGAGGAAACAAAGCAACTGCATGGCTCGCCTGGTCTCCCTTCAACCTTTTCGAAATCTGTTGGCCAAATCTCACAGTACAGAGATCTCAAAGATAACTAACACAATAAGAATCTGCAAAATTAGTATAGGAGAGACTCACAAGCTAATGTTACTACAGAGAGAGATCCAAGTACATTTCAGCCCTTATGCAGGACTCCACTGATTACCCAGATTGTTAAAGCAAATTGCAGAAGGAAAAAGAAGAAAGAAAGCAAGCTGATTTAGCTTTGCTAGACAGGATCCACTGTAAAATACAAGTCTCACCTGCATTTTTGGATCTTGCATGGAGCTCTTTAGACCCTGACTCCAGTGTCCTAAATGTTCCTATACCACAGAATGGGAAAAATAAATTATAAGACCATTCAGCATCCAATTATATACTTCAAAGGATTCAGAAAAGAATATTCATTTGTAGACAGCAGTACAATAACAGCTTAATGACAGCACAATTATTTCCCTTCTATAAAACGCCAACATACCTCTCAAACTGCCCCCAAAAAGCTACTTTTGAAAACTTTTAACAAGATACTGTGAGGATGTAAAGTTCAATCTTCCAAACACTGGAAATTCAACAACAGAGAGATATAAATGTGCTTAATAATTTGCCTGCACATGTCATGGCACAAGGCCCTCTGTTTCAGGGATCACAATAACCAAAGAAAAAACAAAGATGTCCATTAACTCTCCTATCCCATACTGCTCTGCAAAGAACAAAGTAGTTGCAGTGTGTGGCCTTATTCTTAGATGTATTTCTTTTTTTATATTGTGCAGTGGCTTGCAGAGAAAATAATAAAGGCACAGGAAGATCAAGGCAACACAAGCTATTTCTTAACTGGCTACTGAACACCTAATAGAAGGTCTGTCTTGAGTGCACCTTTTTCAAAACAGATGTTTTCACTATTCAGAGCAGTAATGATATTCATCATATTCTTACAAAGGAACATGTTCAAACCTTATTATAGTGCTGGCAGGGAAACAGTGTAACTTGTCATCTCCCTGCTCATTCCACCACAAATCTAACCCTAATATAACTCCTCAAGTCCACAAATTAAATAAATAAATAACTCACAGCAACCTGAGAATAAAATTTTGTCTTAAGGGGTCATTTATGTGCCTTCTCCTCCAGCACTGCAATAGTTCCAAATGCATTAAGGACTTTTATTTCGTCCATGTCACAAGGCTAAAAACTATCTTTCAAAGATTCTGGCTGCTAACATTCACTAATGTAACCATGGTTCTGCCATATGGAGTGAACAAAACAGGAGGAGAAAAAAGCCCCATGCAATTACAAATAAATAAATTTTTAAAAGAAAAGGCTCACATTGTTCTGTTCTCTGTGCACTTGCTTTTAGATAACCACTCAAGAGCCAGGACAGTGTCCTTGGGTGACTGCAGCTAAACGGAGCTCACATGGACTGTCCTAGCAGAAACTGCAGCCGAAACCAGAGATTAAATCCTCACTTGCTACAGGAAAGCCCCCTCACACACACCTAACCTTCAGGTCAGGTTAGAATGGGTCCCAAGTGACTTTCCCAGGGTGTAGGTGATGTCAGGAGCACATAACACCTCTCATGCTCTTTATACTTTGAGGACCTGGGTTCACCAGAGATGCCTGCCACCAGCAGAATCCACAAAAGCAAAAGACAGTGTCTCCTCATGGAGGCGACAACCCCAGGAGAAACAGCACAAGAATTAATACCAACACACTTGCCTTTTGGCTCAAAGCTCCTTCATGTGTAGATACTTTGGTATTGCTTAGTTTTGGATTTGTAGAACTGCCTTGTGTATCCACCACCTCCAACTTCATTGTTTTTCTGGGCACAAGCTCTATATCATCATTCTCACAGGAGTCCTCATGTGGCATCTTGTCTGCTTTTGGAACAGTTTTCCCAGACTCTTCGGCAAATTCCACCATGTAGGGGTAAAGATTATTTACAATATGCAGAACTTGGCCTGGCTTCATTTTTACCACTTCATCCTTGCCAATATTCACAAGATCAACACTAGTTGGGTTGACCCCTATCTTTGGCAGACAGAAACAGATAAAAATAGTAGAAAATTAAATTGTAAGTGGAATCACCAACTTCTGCTCAGTTCTCCTGGAATACCATTATCCTAGAAAGCAAATGCATTCTGTATTCATCGCCCAGCCTGCCCACATCAACCCACTTTAGCCAACCAGGCAGTGCAGCACTGTGGACATCTGTTCTGTCCCAGTCTTGCAGTCACAGGTGTCAGCGCACAACCTCAGGGCCTGCTATCACAAGGAGTCTGGGTCTGCAGCAGCTACACAGTTACAGCATCACTTGTGCTGCACTTCCCCTCACAAATTAGACACCTATTAAACAACTAGTTACAACTAGTTGTTACATGTAACAACTGTAACAACTGTTACAAGAAGTAACAGCAGCAACTATTTCTGAAGACCAACTGTAGTTTTAGCAAATTATTTTAGTGCAATCAAACTGTGTTGTAAGCAACCTACAGAGATTGCTTGATAGATGGATTTTGCATCATCATGTGGGTGACCCTACAAAAATCAGGAGTCTTCAGCAAAATGCTTTTGGTTAATGTATATGCACAAAACAGGTTTTAGGAAATCAGCTCTCTTCTGTGACTGATGAACTCAGTCAGACAGAGTTTTTGTTAGCTTTGTCACTGCCATACCTGCATGCTTCACAGGACAGTACTATACCTCTCACTTGGAATTCACTGCAATGAAGCACACACCTGATTCCAGCCAGCATCTCTTTAGTCTACAGCTCTGCAGTTTCCCTCAAGTCAAGGATGCTTCCCATCAGTGAATAAGGTATCAAACAACTGATCACTGGAACCTTGTGCCACACATCCCTCACCTGGGGAGCAACTCTTCAATAGGCAGAGAAAACATGCTAGCACCCACCACCAGAAAGTATTCCCAGTTTTGAGATTCCAGACACAATATTATGTGTCATATTAAGACTAGGGTTGATTTCTGACGAAAACTGTCCTAGATATCTCTGCCAGATTCACCACATACCCCTGGGGTGCCTGCTTAGTGGGCAGTGGAGGCATTTTGAGAGAAGACATTACTCCTAGGTAGGTAGAACGTGTTGTTGTATTGTCCACACAGGTTGATACTGTGGTCACACACACAAGCAACAGCACCAGAGACCTTTCCCTTCCTATTCTCTCAGAGACACTGGGTCTTGTAAAGTGTGAGGGAATAGGCCTGCCTCCATCCATCTGGTAACATTCCTGCAGGGCTGTCTTACATCCCATCCGTTCCTACAAGTAACCACATCTCTGGCCCTATCAGCCCACCAACAAAAATGTTCTACAACTGCATAGTCCCATTAACACAAGAACTTCAACCTTAAACAAAGGGCTGCCTCAGCTTATGAAGTTTAAGGCTCAGGAGAAAGATAAGCAAGTTTAGTAGAAGAAGTCCAAAGTCTCTCAAATGCAGCACCCAACAGAACTGATTGAGGACTCACAACAGCATCCCCTGATGCTACAAGTCTGGCTGTGTTAGACTGGAATGTATCTGGAATGAATAGTGCAACCTCTCACTGAGGTGTACAAATAAGAAAATACACTTACTGTAACCTCCCTTGGTGATAAGAAAGCTTCAGGTCCCTCAGACACCGTGATCAGAATCATCACTTGGAGCAGTTGTGGAGTTAAGTACAACTGTCCCAGTAAGTACCAGAAATACTGGAGATCCATGCATAAAAACATACCTGTTTAACTGTGACATAACCCTTGTTACAGTCTGCTTTTAACTGAACTGGAAAAGAAAGAACAAACTGTCACAAAACCATGTAAATAAAAAGAACTCTGCTGAACCACCCAGTCCAGAAAACACTCCTCTTTTTGAAGAGCCATTTCTTTTTGGAGCTGATCTTTGTGAATGCATGCCAAGAATATTTCTGCCTCATCTCTTCATTCCAGGACCACAGGTAAAGCAGAGTCAACCCATACACTGAGCCAAGGCTGGAATTACTTTGGAACAAAGGTGGATTCTGTTGATATTTATACATATTCTTGACATTCTAACCAGCCCACTGGGACAATAATGCATAGAGCAAGACTGTGTCCAGAGCCACAGAATATAAGGCAGGGAAGATGTGCAGTATTAAACAGGTGATAAGTATTTTCATATATTCTCCAAGATCACATTATTTTACATATAAAATAATAATCATGCTAAAAATCAGTTGGTGGAATACTAAGGGGAAGAAGTGCTGCTCATGAAGTGAGCAGTGAGACACAATTGTGGGCCTGGGAACTCACAAAAAGCTTTTGTATGTGGAGGCGGACGTCCTGTCTCTGATTCTTTAGGCCCTACAGATCCCTGTAAGTGCTTATTAAAAAGGCTTGATGACTTCAAGAAGCAGACAACACTGCAGACCACACAGAGGAAAAAGGCACGCTCAGCTGCTGCTGCACGTGGAAAGCAGGATTTGAGCTATATCACCTTACCTTGCTGCCGTGAACACTTCTTATCCGTTATCCCAGTCTCCAGGCCACGCCCAATTACCACAGGTTCCAAGTGTGGCAGTTTCACCCGCTGAGTGCATTTCTCTTTGCTCACAAGCCAGCACATACGCATCACTGTGCTATAGAGCAAAATAAACAGTGTGTTACCAAAACACCACTTCCTGATGGGCAACCTTGCTGTGGAACAGGGTCCATGAATTCTGCTGCCATTAGCTGAGCCAATTCTGCTAACTTGGTTCAAGTTTCTGAAATTCAAAGCAAACCATGTCACCAGCACTTGCATAATCCAAGAGCAGGTTGCTGTTGAAAGGGCAATCCTGTTTTCCTTCCTACACTACCATACATTCTCACATCTGTGAACCATATATAGGAAAAATCTATTGGATGGACAGTTCCATCTGACAGAAGAGCCTAGCCACAAAAAACGTCACTTTGTTTCCCACTGAATCAGAGTTCACCCAAGAGATTAATTTAACTGCCAAAATAAGAGAGCAGCGGAAGACAACAGATGATGAGACAGTCGCGACAGCTTCATCCAGCAACAGTCAGCACACAGACCATGCCATGTAACCTTCAAGCTTACGACAATTTGACCCTGGTACAGATCCCTCATGAGCTCTGCAGTGGAGAGCTCATGCCCACGGAAAACAAGGCTCGGTCCCCAGTGTAACACTGGCATGCCACATGCCCATCCCCACGGCACGCCCATCCCCACGGCACACCCATCCATCCCCACAGCACACACCCATCCCCACGGCACACACCCATCCCCATGACACACATCCATCCGCATGGCACACACCTATCCCCACGGCACACCCATCCATCCCCACGGCACACACCCATCCCCACGGCACACGCCCATCCATCCCGACGGCACACGCCCATCCCCACGGCACGCGCCCATCCATCCCCACGGCACGCGCCCATCCATCCCCACGGCACACGCCCATCCCCATGACACACATCCATCCGCATGGCACACACCTATCCCCACGGCACACCCATCCATCCCCACGACACACGCCCATCCCCACGGCACGCGCCCATCCATCCCGACGGCACACACCCATCCCCACGGCATACGCCCATCCATCCCGACGGCACACGCCCATCCCCACGGCACACCCATCCATCCCCACGGCACACACCCATCCATCCCCACGGCATGCCCATCCATCCCCACGGCACGCGCCCATCCATCCCCACGGCACACACCCATCCATCCCCACGGCACACACCCATCCATCCCCACGGCACGCCCATCCATCCCCACGGCACGCCCATCCATCCCCACGGCACGCCCATCCATCCCCACGGCACGCCCATCCATCCCCACAGCACACACCCACCCCCACGGCACGCCCATCCATCCCCACGGCACGCCCATCCATCCCCACGGCACGCCCATCCATCCCCACGGCACGCCCATCCATCCCCACGGCACGCCCATCCATCCCCACGGCACGCCCATCCATCCCCACGGCACACACCCACCCCCACGGCACACACCCACCCCCACGGCACGCCCATCCATCCCCACGGCACGCCCATCCATCCCCACGGCACGCCCATCCATCCCCACGGCACGCCCATCCATCCCCACGGCACGCCCCTCCCCGTAGGCCCCGTTCCCATGGCAACGCCTGACCGACCCCTCCCCCTTACCTCGCGCGTGATGTTCGCGCCGCCGCAGCCGCCACCACAGCCAATCAGCTGCGGTAGCGCGTTTCCCACGTGACTAGAGGGAGGCGCCCGCCAAGGCGCGTAGGTCCGCGCAGGCGCACTGGGCCCGCGCACCCGGGGATGGGCGCTGGGCCCTCGCAAAGGGCCAGTGGAGTGAAGCGGGCCGGGGCGCTGGCCGGCCTTGTGGCGGCGGAGCCAAGCCCGCGTAGGGTGAGGGGGGAAAGGCGCGGAGCGCTGCCGGAAGGCGACGGCCGGGCCGGCGGAGCGCTGCCGGAAGGCGACGGCCGGGCCGGCGCCGCGTACCCGGTGTAGCTCGGTGCCTTTGAGGGCGGGAGCGGCCCGCGGCGCAGGCGCAAGGCGAGGCGGACGCTGGGCAGGGACGGCACCGCCCACGCGGGGCGGGGCGGGGCCGCGCTCAATGTCGGCGGCGGAGGCGGGCGCTGATTGGCCAAGCGCCTTCCCCTCCCGAGCAGCCATTGGTGGGCCACTCGCCCGGGCCCGGCGCGCGGCGGGACAGGACTTCCGGGGTGGGGCCGGCTGCTGAGGCGGCGGGGCTGCGGGCCCGGCCCGAACTTTCCAGAAGAGTCGGGATCGGAGCTGCGCGGAGCGGGATCTGCGCCCGCCGCCCCGGGACCCCCGTGCCACCACCGCCATGGTAAAGGAGACCACCTACTACGACGTGCTGGGCGTGAAGCCCAACGCGTCCGCCGAGGAGCTGAAGAAGGCCTATCGCAAGCTCGCACTCAAGTACCACCCGGACAAGAACCCCAATGAGGGCGAGAAGGTCGGCGGGACGGGCCGGGGCGGGGGGGCCGCGCGGGAGGGGTCTGGCGGGAGGCCCGCCGCGGGTGCCTGAGTGCGGGTGCTGTTCTTTCTGCAGTTCAAGCAGATCTCGCAAGCTTACGAAGTGCTGTCGGACCCGAAGAAGAGAGAGCTCTATGACAAAGGAGGCGAACAGGCTATCAAGGAGGGCGGCTCCGGCGGCGGCTTCGGGTCACCCATGGACATATTCGATATGTTCTTCGGCGGTGGAGGAAGGATGCAGAGGGAGAGGCGAGGTAACGTGTTGGCGAGGGTATCAGATTCTCTGAGGGGAATGCCGTAGATGTAGGAGTTTAAACAGAAATTATAGACTTAATCTGAAAACTGGAGAAAACTCTTGTCCCTTAACACCTGAAACCCCAAGGGAGGGCCCTTGGTTGGTGTGGTGGTAGTTTGGTCTTCCTGTGCATTGTCCCTTGTTAATCGCTAACCAGGTGTGTTTAGAATACTTTTAGCTTGAGTGTAAGCCTAGCTGCTAGTAGACAAAATAGGAAATGGAAGGGTAAAGTAGCTTAAAATGGTTTACTAATTAAGTTACTGTAACTGTAGTATCTAAAAGCAACTATCTAAATAAGATATCAAGATCCAGTTCAGTCTGTGAAATTTTTCTGTGGTCCTGCACTGTGCAGTGGAATTAAGTTGAAACTGCAATAAAATGCTACCCAGAAGTTAAGTTCCAGTTTAATCACGCTGGGAAAAACTTTAAAGCTGTTAAGAGCAGTGCTGACCCTGTCACCTCTTAGTGCAGATCTGTTGAAAACAGAAGAAAAAATGTTTTGTATCAAAATGTTAAGAGTGTCAAAGTACTTGTAACAACCCAGAGCTCAGTATCATTTACAAAACTAAGCCTACAGCAGCTGAAGTGCTAAGGAGTTCTTGAAGGTAAAAATATAACTGCTTATTTCTGCTTCCAGAAGGTCACCTGGTGAGAGGAAGAAAGTGCTGAAATGGATTTTCCAAACAGAGTCTCTGCCTTGTTTGTAGATCTGTTTGGTGACTTTGTTGAAACCCGAGTCCTGCATCATAAAACTTAAACATTTGAGGTTCTGTGTGTTCTGTTGCTCATACTGTTTGAACTTTTCCAGAAGGTCTCTTCTGACTTTAGCAGAGTCAAAGTCGTGACAACTGTTACCCAATATGACAGCACCTGGGAAGGAGCTTTTGACTAATACAAGCAAAACAAGACAAAGCTCAATTGATGCAAGATACTAAAGCCCAGAGACTTGGTTTATCGTGGCTTGGCAGGGAGATGTGCAGACCAAGCTTCTAAACTTAAGTAAGTTCTGTTCTTTTACAGGTAAAAACGTGGTCCACCAGTTGTCAGTAAGTTTAGAAGATATGTACAATGGTGCGATGAGGAAACTTGCACTGCAGAAAAACATTATCTGTGACAAATGTGAAGGTAATGTTGAAACTGAAATTGAAGAGGAGATGTTTCTAAAGCTTTTGGGGATTTTTTTCTGGTAGCACATAACCACCTAATTCCATTTTTTGTTCTCAGGTCGTGGTGGTAAGAAAGGTGCAGTAGAATGCTGCCCTAATTGTAGGGGAACAGGCATGCAGATCAGAATTCACCAGATTGGGCCAGGAATGGTGCAGCAGATCCAGTCTGTGTGTATTGAGTGTCAGGGGCATGGGGAGCGTATCAGCCCCAAGGACCGGTGTAAGAGCTGCAATGGCAGAAAAATTGTTCGAGAGAAGAAGATACTGGAAGTTCACATTGACAAAGGTGAGGTGTCTTACTGAGGTGAAGTATTGAACTTGAATGTACTGACTGCCTTTGCAGCACTAAAACAGAAGCTTTAGCAAACATGTAGTGTTGATTTTGTGAGTAATAGTGCTGAATACACAGTAAAATTGCTGCCTTACAAAAAGTAGACTTATTTTCTAGGAAAGGTTGACTATCTCTGTGTTCACTTCTAAAGCCTGGCACATAACTAAGAATGAATTCTGAAACCTGCGTTATTGTAAGAAGTGAATTATTTTTCAGGTCCCTCTAAGCCCAGTTGTGATCAGGTAACACAATCAATTTTCACTGCGTGCAGCAAAACTGCAGACTCCTATCACTTCCGCTGTGTTTCAGTGTGAAGGGGAACCAGGTCTGCTATAGTGACTGGGTGCACAGACAGTGCTAAGCCTCTCATGCTTAAAGCTCTGTTGACTACGCAGCCCTGACAGTGCTGCCCAATGCAGGTACCACTTCCTTGCCTGGCAAAATGCAACTCAATACACAAACCCTCAACGTGATGGGTGAACGGAATGGTATTGAATGACAAATGCATCTGTGTTGAGTAGGCTGCCGAAAAGCTGGTGGGAGAAGTCTCTGGAGTAATGTAGCTTGTAAGGCAGAGCACGCTGACAAATGCATGACTTAAACAGTCTCGCTTGTGATTGTGGCCTGCAGCTGTTACATGTGTAAGCAGAGCTTCTGCAGTTACTGAATTTGTAGGGGAGATCCATAGTGGTAGTAAATATAAGGTCTAGAAGGGCTATATTACTGATATTTTGAACAGGGAGGTCTTATGAGAAGGATGTTTTTCTAGAAGTAAGGGAAAAGAGACTTACGTAGGATAAGAAAGCTAGTATTTTTGTTCAATCGATTTCTTGTGTGGGTGCAACAAGTTTCTTATGGGAGGTTTTCAGTCCGTAGGAAATGCTTCTTGGACTTGGCAGGCAATCAGATCATGCTTCATAAGGAGATGTGCCACCTATTTATGAAACTGAAGAAGCTGACTGGTCAATTGCTGTTGAAATAAAGTTTGTAGGCAGTGTTTGATTTTCTTTTTGTATTTGTGTGTATAATGAAAACTGTTTTGATTATATTTCCCTTTAAGACTTAATGTTGGTGGCTCTTTTGTCAGTACAGTTAAACCTGATAGTTTTGAGACTGAATTCATGTTAGCACTGCTAAGATCTGTTAATTGAGTGGATTTAAAAAAAAATGCTTCAAGGGAAAATCCTGATGTTCTTATTTAAAGATCCAGAGATATCTTAATACCAGCTCATGCCTGTAAAAGTGTTCGTTGTTGGTGCTTTTATCTTAAAAATAAGAAAAAGGTTTATTTGTTTTGTACAATAGGAATGAAGGATGGCCAGAAAATTACATTCCATGGTGAAGGGGACCAAGAGCCAGGTCTGGAACCAGGGGATATTATTATTGTCTTGGATCAGAAAGACCACTCTGTATTTACAAGGTAAAGATGCTTGAATTCTCTTGTGATATTTCCTGTGATGGTTTTCCACATGCTTCCGTGGTTACCACTCATCTTGTAGGTACTGGTGTGTCAGGAGATAGGATCACATGACTGTCACTCAGCCATGAGTTTGTCTGGGTGGTCAGAGGAGCGCTGAGGTGAGTTCTGCTGCAACTAGTCTGTCCACTTGTGTTCTAATAGCATGAGGTGATCTCTTGTGAGCTTTGGCAGCAGAAGGGATAGAAAGCAAACAAAAATAGTTACAGTTAAGAGTTTACAAATTTTTAATTTTAAGAACTCATTGAAATAATGAGATTTTTAGTAGTTTTGAGTATTTGTGACTGTTTCCTTGCTTTCAATTACTTAACTCAGAAAATTGCCATTTAATGTAGTCCACTGTTGTCCACATGGCCTCAAGGCACAGAAACCTTGGAGCGTGTGCACATGTTCATTGATCTTACTTAGAACAGACTTACTCAGTATAGAGTGCACCATTGTGGTCAAACAGTTAGCCACACTTCATTTCCTGCCCAAGTGCTATGGGCAGGATAATTGGTCCTGTCTGTTTTTTATTGTGAAAGCAAAAGTAACTTAAGCAGCACTGACCATATCTTAACTATGTCATGTTCCCAGGCAATACTGCTCAGTGTTGGATGCCTCCCTCTTTCATGTTACTGTTTATGGAATTAGTGTGTCTAGTATATTTTAGTCCAGTTAAAAGCACCATTGATGATCTCGCAGAAGTGTGTTGCATTTATTGTCTCACTGCTGCTGCTAAGAGCAGTTACAAGGGAAATGGTGGGTTTAGAGAAAGCACTTAGCGCTGACCTTGTACTTGTAAATAGGAACGGTGAGCCAAAGGTTCTTGGGAAACCTGCAGCTGGTCTGCCTGACTATCATGTATGGTGCTGAGCTCTTGAAGCTGGTGCCAGAATTCTATGCCAAGGAACACTGAGCTCATAGGTTAAGAATCATTTCTGTTTGCTTTGGATGAGCTTACTCAGCTGATTTTTCTTAACTTCCAGTGAAACCATACACTGATTCAGCTATGCCAAACTGTTCTCATGGTTTCCTGGGACCTGAAGTCACAATACTACTAGATTATTTTTTTCTATCCTTCTGCCCAATGCCTTCAGTTCTAGTGTCCTTCAGTAACCCTTGATATTACTGGTCTTGTGGGGTTATGCTGAGGTCATGCTCTCACACAAGTGGGATGTTCCTCCTCTCCTGTCAGAGTCTAAAATTAGCTTTTCGTTCAAGTCTCCTGCCAGAGACGTTTTAAAAACAGGGTGAGTGGTCTGTATTCTTTGAATAAGATGAAGGAGTTTGTAACCTTTGAACATGCGGACAATTACAATTGCCATACTGAAGTCAGAACACAATTAAAATAATTAACACCATTGCAGATACTTCTTGGTACTTGTATCATTACCCAGAGTGGCCATCACCTGTTCAAAATTCCGTCATAATAAATCTTCAGGGTGTAACAGATCACCATAGTGCAAGCTAGTGCAATTAAGAAGGTATTTATCTATGCAAAAAAGCAAATTAATTGTCCCAGTTTCAGTATTTATGAGGCTGAGAGATTTTTTTCTTTTAATTGGGAAGGAGCAGTGAAGTGAAACTGGATGCAAGTGGCCCTTACTGTATTTATTTCTTTTCAGTAAACACTTGTAACACTTTAGTTAGCTTGACAGGATCATAATGTATCTGAGCAGGTATCATTCTAGTAATTGAGGAGCTACATTCATATTTGCAGCTCCTTACGTATTAATTGTCTGGGTTTCTGTTATAATTACAGCTTATTGTAATTTCCAGATTTTAAATACTGAAGTTGGATGTGATCCTTGTACTATTTCTCTCTCACTGTGACTGTTGTTGATTGGGTCTTCCTTAGACGAGACGAAGATCTACTTCTGTCTATGGATATTCAGCTGGTTGAAGCACTTTGTGGCTTTCAAAAGCCCATCACAACGCTGGATAACAGAACTATTATTATTACCTCCCATCCTGGTAAGAGTTGGTTTGCTTTCTGTTGGAAGTTCTAGCATACAGTGAATGTAAGCTGGAAATCTAAAGGAACAGAAGCACCCCATCTTGATGTAAAACGGATGTTTGCTGGTGTCAAATTCTTTGCCTCCGTCTTTGCAGTACGAATCTTAAAATAAAAAAGTATTTTTGCAAGCAGTCAGCAGTAACTTTCTCTTTGCGTGACATAGTAACAGACCTTACCTCATGGACATACTAGCATCCTGAGGATATCTCATGAGAACTGAATGCCGTGGGTCTCTGAAAACCACTTTTTCAGCCTTGGAAGCGATGGAGCACTTAATAAATTTGTAAGTATGCTTCCTTTGGGAAGCATAACAAGGTTTATAGGAATGTAATGTAGACATCAGTCTACTTTCCTACTTGTATGTTATCAGGCAGTAAGTTCCTGTTAGACTACTACATGTTGATGTTGCTGCCTAACCACAGTGTAGAAAACTACCTAAATCTTGAAGGGAATTATAACTAAAGCTGGTTCTGTTGCTTGCATGGCTCCCTTCCTTTTTTTGGTTATTTTTTTGTTTTGTTTTTTTTTTTAGGCCAGGTTGTTGAGCATGGGGCTATTAAGTGTGTGTTGAATGAAGGTATGCCAATTTATCGTAGGCCATATGAAAAAGGACGTCTGATTATAGAATTCAGGGTAAGTGAATCAACTCACTTCCACAGCATTTCAGGACTGAACATCTATCCAAAATTTAACCAATAAGCGCTACCTCAGTCAAGAAGAGATAACCAATAATCAGATATCCTGTTGGTATTTGTTCTTTACAAGGGTGAGAACATGCAACCCATCAGAATTACCGTTCAGAACAAAGAGAAAACTTACGGAATGGTGTGTGCTCAAAGTACATTAGTTACCAGTGGATTTTCTTTAGCAGCCTTCTGAATTTACATTTGCTTGACATACTATTTAGTTTCTATTGTCCTGTAGGAAGGATGCACGAGTAACTTTTGACTTCTGCACTGGAGCAGAAGAGTAGGTTGGAAAATGTTGATTTTCTTCTCTGGGGAGAAGCTAATCCTGGGAGCTATAGTAGTGGGCCCTGTCTGCTACAGCTTAGAATATATTTAACCATATCTCTAATGTTGACATTTTGTTTATCTATATATATTTAAATATGTAGTTGTATGCACTATTACATACATACTTTGCTCTTGTGGTTGATTCCAGAGGACAGCCTGAAGCAGAGGAAAGACGTTGATTGAGTTGCCAGAATTAGAAGCTAACTTCATGCAGGCATTAAAAAACTGCTTAGTGATGCTGATTATATTTTGTGCTCTGAATTTAAGTGATCTATGACAACAAACCTGACTTTGGCAGATATTTAACCTGTAGGTCTATCTGACCTAATGAAAAAACAGTTCAGATAGACTTGAGTAACCTTAGTTCTTGATTTCAGGTGATCTTCCCAGAGAGTGGCTTCCTCTCCTCAGATAAGGTGTCCTTGCTTGAAAAACTGCTACCTACAAGGCAGGAGATAGAAGAAACTGAGGAAATGGAACAGGTGGAATTAGTGGACTTCGATCCATCTCAAAAGCGAAAACACCTCTATAATGGAGAAGTGTATGAAGATGATGAGCATCAGCCTAGAGGTGGTGTTCAGTGCCAGACATCATAAATGGGCCAGTGAATAACTTGTGATGCTTGTTTTGTATGCAGTGGATAAGTGAAGGACTACAAGCAGTTTGCTGTCACTTGCTATGTGTTGTTTTATCCAGCCATAGTCGTTTCTAAAAGCATAAAGAAATAAACTAAGTAATTAAACCGACTTTGCGATTTGTATAAAGCTGCAAGCTGAAATGAAGTTGACTGCACTTCACCCCTGCCTCTTGGTCCAGGAAACTCCCTTACCTGCTTGTGTTTTATTCCAAACCTTGTAATTCCTGTATGTGTGCAATTGCCCAGGCTTAAACTAAGATTCTGTGATGTGCTTTTTAGGAATTCTAGATCTTATACTCTGTGAATGAAGTATGCACTAGTACTTATAATCCATGGTAAGATGTAGTAAAGTTTTGTACCAATTAGGATAATATTTGGGCTTGTACTGTTTGTTAACCAGGGCCTGACTAATGCACCCACTTGGTAGATGAGGCTGACACAGATGTGGTTGATCTTCATAGGCCCATTAATGTAATGAGATCCCCAAGTTCTCCACGCTATTCCACATGAGGTCCTTTCCTGTGCCAGCACTAGTCCTGACCCCAGAGCTAGATGTTGAGCTTGCTTTGTTTCATAGGTGATTCCTGTTTGGCTGCTGTCCTGTGTCACACTGCCTGTGGAGCCAGTGGTTGCTTGGAGCTACCTTGGCTACTGTGTATTAATAAAGTCCTATAGGCTTTGTCAGCATGCAGATGGCTTGGAAAGTCAGACTGCTGCTAGGTGAAGCTTGATTTCCACCGTGATTACTGAAATCAGACACCCTTGGAGTGTTGTGGAGAGCAGTCTTCTTAGTGGGTATATGTGATCCTGCAGAGGAAAGAAGGCTAGTGATCACAACCAACCACTGCATCTAGGGTATTCTGAAATTAATGTATTGTGTGCATTATTTCAAGCTGACTTAAATTTCTGTATGAATGTTCTAATTATTGTAGATGAAGTGTTTCTGATATAATTACAAAATTGTTCATTGCCTCTTCTTAGGCCAGATGTTGGTTCGAAAGCACCAACTTCTTATTTTTAGACAGCTATTCACAGTAAAATCTTTAAAACCTTTACGAAAATATGCTGAGAAGACACATCCAGATTTAACCTCTAGTGTGGTAGTTTAGTCTTGCTCAACCATCTGGCTTGGGACAGAGCTTATGCTTTTCATATTGCTTTGAAGCAAAAGTGTCACAAGGAGAACTCATCTAAGTACATGTGTTGTAATTTGAATATCTGGGAGCTCTTAGAAAAATACATCTCTAGCTTATCTAACCATTATAAGTTTTATTGTATCAAGACATACCAATGGGTTTTGTACCTCAAATGTGGTCCCTTTCAGGTACCTACAGAACTGTGGTCTTTCACCTGCATGTTTCACCTACTTTTCTGTTTTCTTTCTCAACAGAAATAAAATTCTGTAGGCTAAGTGTTTTTCCAAATTCTACTTGAGTGAGCTCATCAGCTGAAAAATGTGACCTGCAGGTGCCTATGCTCTACCAGTAGGATGGCTTGAGTCAAGGGGAGAAAGAAAGTAATCTTACTCTGGGGGAGGCAGCCCCTCTAGGGCTCACTCCTTAACAGCTGGCTTGAAACTTAAGCAAGAGTAAAATGAGCTACCTTTTTTAGCTCAGTGGACCAAGCACCCTTGGGTTTGGGTTTTTGTTTTTTTTTTTTTGGTTTTTTTTTTTTCCCAACCACTGGATCAAGACAGCAAGGACAAACAACTCTCCATTCACAGCCTTGAGCTTGACAGAGACATGATTTTGCTTCAGATGACTCTATGTTCTGGTTTGGAAGCAAAACCAGTGAGAGACTCCAAGTCAAAAAAACAGTTTATTAGGAAAGGGGAAAATAAACAAAACCATGCAATAATACAAAAGAAAAAACACTTTTTATATATATATAAATAATAAAAAATAAAAACGACAGAGTCAGAATACAACCTGACACCCCTTTGGCCAGCGTGTTGGTAGCAGTCCAAATTAGAGTGGCTGCAGTCCTCCTGGAGTGGGAGATTTGGTTCTGTTGGAGCAGTGGTCTTGTAGAAGTCTGTAGTCTTCCTCTGAAGGTCTAGTGAAAAACCCCAGATGTGTCCTCTTGGAAGCCTGTGGGAAGGCTGACTGCTCTGTCCCAAACCCAGGATATATCTAGGTCGGGATGCCCAGGTCTGCACTGGGCAGAGCATCTCTCAATGAGCTGATGTCATTCTGAGTCCCTGGGCGAGTCCTTGATCACCTGTTAAACAGAAAATGACCCTGGAGGGAGTTATCTCTGAGTCATGTGGCAAGGCATGGATGGGCCCCTTAACAGGAGATAAGGAAAACTGCCCAGAGGGCAACTGCTACACAGATGGTAATAGGAAACATCTTGCTTCTCAGTCTGGGACACTGTCTTATATTAAAACAAACAAACAAACAAAAAACATTCTATAAACTTACTTTCTCAGGTTTTCTTTTCACCACACCCCCTCCACAACTGCATTGGCATAGATGAGGTTATATTATTGACTTATTCTGGAGGTCATGACAATTCTGCTTCGTATTTGATTACCCCACAGCACATGGGCCAGGTTCCAGGAAGAGGGTGGCTGACCAGGAGCTGCCTGTAGAAGCTTTAGCAGAGCAGTCCAGGGAAGGATGATGTGCTAGTGGAGGAAAGGCAGCAGGAGCACCACCAGGTTAGTATTCTGTTTTGAAATTAACTGGTTACTGATACAGAAGCTGTGCCCCAAACAAATACTGGCAGCAGTAGAATAAGCTTTCGGCAAAAAGCACTGGCTGGCAAGAACTAGTAGAACTTTGTTGTTCCATGATACTCTGGGTATCATACAGTTAGAGCAAGCAGCTGGATGTGTTCTGTGACACTGAAAAATGAAGAATTTTTTCTGACTTGTTGCTTTATGTGGGATACATAGTTTGGGCAAATAAACAGAATGGACAGCTGTTGAAACAGAGGATACAGTAGCAGAAAACAGCTGTTTCTGTAGCTACCAGTATAGTAACCTGACCTATTTTCAGGTTACATCTGAGTTTGCAGTTACTTCCAGTGTTTCAGCACCACCTAATTCATATGATCAAGATTATATTTTAATATGTTACAATTATTCTTTTCACTGTGCATCTGAATTTGCAGTGTGATGAAAGGTCAAGCAAGCAAGCAGCTTGCCCTATAATTTTTCATTAGCAGCTTCACCTGGGAAGACATGATTCCTGCTTAGAGCATTAGGAAAGCATACTAAGAAAAGTGAGGTTTGATTTAAGCCACTCTATTAGAAAACAGCACATAAAAAAAATGCGGGGCTTACTGTTTTCTTAGGAAGTAAAATGAGCACTGTTACAGTGCCCAAAGAATGGGACTTCAACTACTCTGTTAACAGCTGTCTGGAAAACATTAAAAAAAAAAATAATCATAATGAATCCATAGATAAGTGGTGCTTTAAGTCTGCCATAATGGTGGGCATTCCCGAGCCAAAGCCAGTGTGTCCATTGAGACAGCCCCTAAGAAGCCTGATGCTTCCATGCAGACAGAACTGGTGAGGAAGGTACAAGTCAGTACAGCTGGTACATTTCAGTGGATGCCCAGATACTTCTCCTGAAGAAAAGGCTGGTGCCTGCACGGAGTGTGCACAGGTGGATGACAAGAGACAGTTGGCTGTGCAGTATATAGAGGGGCTGAAGCAGAGATAGGTTCAGTGGGTTCAGAACCACACATCTGCAATGGATACCACTGAGCCTGAGGCAACTTGCATCCTGGGGACCCACAAAAACAGGGATCCAATTCAATCTCCACCCTTCAACTTGCAGTCCAAAAATACAGATCTGATGCTTTAAAGGCTTTAGATGTCCATGAACAAGGCCAACGAAGAGAATGTCACCAGCAGTGCATCGTGATTACTGTAAAAAGAAACATCAAGTGGTTGTAGTGGGCACTGAATTGTCCATTTGCCAGCCTAATAGACAATCACAAGGGGCATCCTGCCCTCCAGGAACTGGGATCCATGGTGTCACCGAGAGGGTACCCTGACCTGTCATAGACAACTGCCCTCATCACTTCTTCATACAAGCCCAAAAATAGGTGGGATCAAGGAAGACTATAAAGCCTTGGTGAGGCAGGTGAAAAATCCCCATGCCCAAGTCATCTCATCTGTCCTCCCTGTTAGAGCAATCAGGACAGCCAGACACATTGTGCAGACCAATGTCTGTGTTTGTGGCTGGTGCTATTGAGAAGGTTTTGGTTTTTATAACAGTGGGTTGTGTTTTTATGATTTTTAGTCTGTTACAGAGGAACGGGATCCCCTGGCTAAAAGGGGCAGAGAGTCTTTGGCAGCAGGCTGGCCAGACTGGTGAGATGGACTTTAAACTGAAGGACTGGGAGCCAGGGTGCAAATAGCAATGACTGGACTTTAAACTGAAGGACTGGGCAGGTTCAAATGGCAATGACTGTGCCATTGCTTCCTCCCGGGGAGCAGGTCACAGCAACCACTGCAGAAACAGATGTTCCTTGGCTGCCCCTGAAGTTGAGGATCAAAACACAAAACACATCATAGGCACTTATGGCTATGGTGAATCCTCTCACATCCCTTCTAGGAAATCCCAGTATACAAAAAGATGCAGCACAGGTAATAAGAACTAGATATATATATGCATTTACAGGGCCATGATCTCACTGCAATGCTGAATCATAGTGGGATAGCTCACATGACTGGAATATTGTCATGGATGGATATGTCCTTGTTAGAAACAACCAAGAAATGTCGGAGAAGCAAGGGTGTATAATTTCTCCTTATATGACAGAGGAACTGGAATGTATCAAGCTCTACCTAGGGACAAATTAACAAACTGAGAGTTTGTGGGTGAGAATTGTCCAGTGTGCCCTGGCAGCCAGGAGGATCAATCCTGTCCTGGGGTGCATCAGGCACAGCATTGCCAGCTGGGCAAGGGAGAGGCTTGTCCCACTCTACTCTGCACTGGGGTGGCCTCAGCTCAAGTCCTGCGTGCAGTTTTGGGTGCCACAAGGTAAGAAAGGCATTAGGCCAATACAGAGCATCCAAATGAAAACAGCTAAGATGGTGAAGGGCCTTGAGGAGAAGCCATATGAAGAATGGCTGAGGTCACCTCAAGAT